ACCCATCGTAAACCTAGCCAAACGCAACCGAGCTTTTAAAAATTTACCAGAATGTCTGTTGCTTACGCTTTTGGCATAGGCAAAAACTCCTTAAAATCTTAACTGTCCGCGTGATGGATTTGCGATTATGCATGAGTTGTCACTCTTACAATGTAATATTTGCCAGGCGCGATCCTGGAATGATTTATTTAAATGTTGTTACTTAATATTTTGCAATAGCAATTTTATGCTGCTAGGGGTTTCTTGCCCTTACCCTGCTCTGCTGCCGGTTTTCTTCGTAAATTGACACAATTCTATTTCTGTCTCGCACTGAATACGCAGGCAGTTCTCCTTCACTGTGTAAAATGGCAGAGAGCGCGCTCGGTCCAGTGATCTACAGTCTGTCTTACTGCCGCTGGTACCTGGAGGCGCTGTTTGAAAAGGAAGCTATTCGTTACCCAGAAGTCATGGCGCGCTATGTGCATGGGCTATCGACAAGGAATGTTTATACACTAGATAACTACAGCTCTTGTGTAGTAGTCTTATTTGCCATGGGATTTGCTTACCGATTTCTGGCTTTGTTGTTTATGTTGTTTACAAATAGGGGGAAGCAACATTAGCTGCATCTTGTTGTTGGAGAAATCTGGAGGAAAGTGTATTATTGTTAAACTTAAGCGTGGCTTTAAATGAGATAATTAGAGTAAATTTTTTTGCGTGTATCCTGTGATAGTGAACGCAAGGAAAGGAATTAGACGAAGGAGCCAGCTTGTGCAAACATTATTTTGTTGTCAGTTGAGAGCATTTATTTCTGTTTTGTTGATTTTTTTTTTTCGTTAGCGTGCTCGAAGGTGCCATATATGTTTAACTTGTTACGTGTCCAGCCATGTGTCTGTTGTAATGTACACTCAAAGCTTAAAATGACTATGCTAAGAGATTTAGAGATCACCTTTGTTAGTTCGAAATTCAGAATCACCATCGTCTAATTTTATGCGCAAGAACGCCTAAACCTGTGAAAATTTAGGCACACTGAAAAATGCCAAGTTTCATGGAAGCGTATAGGAACTTTATACTATCAAACGTTCCTCCGTGGTTGATTTATAAAAACATGCTCTCCAACTCAAAGTAATGGTCTTAGTTAACCAATGTTGTGTTTTAGATTGGTGTAATGACCTTTACTAAGCATCTGATTTTAACTTTTCATGTTATGTTTATTGTTCTCTGTGCAGTAGGTTTGAGTTGAGTGAACTGCAAGTTGTCTCGGTGTGATAAGTATATAGTCCTAAGGATCCCCTCGCTCAGTTACGCCTTCGAAGCATTTCTTCTCGTTTGTAAATTAGACTCTTGCAATCCTTTACGCATCGTTTAAGTGATCGCAATTTTTTTGAAAGACAACCAACATTGAAATAATCTTGCAAATTAAAGCAGAGTAAGGTTTTTGTTGTTGTTGTTGTTGTTTTTTAATGAATTTCAATATTCTTTTTACGGTACACGCAATCGGGCATGGGAACGGATATTTCTGATTCCAAGATCTCGGAGACTTTTTAATTCTTCAAAGTCTGCTCAAGAGTCTACAGTATTTTAAGAAATTTGAGGTCAATTGATACTTTCTGCGCCTCAAGTAAACACAGAGTGTTGATTAATGGGTGAATCAGTCTGTCAAATTAAATTGTGTTGTTTTTGTCGTTGTTGCTCGATGCATTAGCGTCTTTCCAGAAATTTGGCAGGGGAGGGGATCCTCCCTATGAGAATAAGACTGAAAATTACGCCTTTGACGCATTCTTTCTCGTCTGTAAGGACGACTCTTATAATCCGGCTTCACGCCTCCGCTAAGCGCTCTAATTGTGAGATCCCAGAGACTCGGAGTTTATTTCAGAATTTTGTGTGCTCTCGCTGGGCGGGAACGTTTTTTTACGACTCCATTTCCCCATGTTTTTGTGGTAAAAGAAGAAGATTGTAATACTGAGAAATGTGTCTATGCAAAGCTAGATAACCATTTCTCTTTTATTACCCAAAAGCTTCTTTTTTCAAACTCAAATGGTCGATTTTAGTCATGAATGGTCATTCCGATTCTTTTTTGACGTGGTTACGCATTCTTAACATTTTTCTTCTAACTTATCACTTAACACACATGTAAGCTGAAATGTAATGTAAACCTGGTAAAAAACCTTGTGAGTGATACATCATATTCTGCTTTATATAACGTATTTATCCAATTTTTTTGCGGTTCTCCATAATGCCTATGTGCTACGCAAATTTTGTTTCATATATTACAATATTTACTTTTCAATTCAATTTTAATTTATATAGAATACCTGTAAATTAGGTGGTGTGTCATTTCATCCAAGTCTTGAAGTGAACCACCCCTCGTCGAATAGAATTACGATGTTTTTGATGTGTGTGTTGTTGTTGTGTAATGCACTAACGTCTTTTAGGAAAGGGAGGCTAAAATGGCCCTAGGGATCCACCCTCTAAGCTACACCTTTGGCGTATTCGTTTTTGTTCGTAATTGCGACTCAGATAATCCTTTATAGAGGGTTTGAATGGGGGTCTTCATAGCAATTGTCGGTTAAAATTTAATTTCTTTGTCATTAGTTACCTAAAATTTTCGATCTCTGTCGGTTATTGATAAATCACAATTGATGATTAAAAATTAAAAGTGAAGGTTTCATATTTGTTAGGAGATTCGTAGGCTCGAGTAACGGTCACTTTGGAAATGAGCCCGCAAACTTACAAGGCCGTAGAATAAGTTTGATGATTGGATATCTGTTAATTATTAAACTGAATCAGACATTTGACCTCCTAAGCCAGAATGTTCATGTTTCTGTATAAGAATATCGATAATGTTAGTTGTCGGTTAGTATTTACTTGTCCGCCCTAATCCTTAATTCTTTTTTGTATTTTCTCGGTAGTCAGTTATATTTTTCCCCCTTTGTCGCTGGTCAATTAACCCGATCCAGATCCTCTTCACACATCATCAAAGCGATCAGTAACAAGTGATCGCTAACGTTTTAAAACAATCTTATTTTTCAAATAATTTTTGCAATAGAAACTTAGATGCACAAGTAGCTATGGGTTGTTATTTTGAGACGCAGCTTAACAGAAAAAAATATTTCTGATTAAAGGATCTCGGAAACTGTGATTCTAGTGGATAACTTTTTGCGATTCCTCGATGTGAAAAACATTTTTTATGACGCGGTTTTCCCTTTTTATTGGGAAAAAGGAGAGGATTTATTCACTGAGAAATATATGATACGTTAGACCCAAATTAACACTTGTGCTGAAGCAGTTAAAATATTCTCTTCATGTTTCTTCTGAACATCTTATCGCACAATCTATTTACATTTAATAAGGGTTGGCTAAGCGATAGTCAGTATAACGAATGTCAGTCCAGAATGGGTTGACATAAGATATCCTTTCAGTTAAATTGGTCCATTTATTTGCTTGCTTTAGCGCCGGTAAAATAAGTAATATGTCCCATCATATTTCGCCTATTGATTATTTGCCTTTCCTATCCAGCTCTTCTCATATCGGCTTTCATCTTAGTGTTCACGGAAGACTTATTAACAGTTGTTTTTTTAAGTCTATTATGAATTTGCCGCGCATAATCATCGTTTCGCCAAAGAGTGCCAAGTTTTCCATACTCGAGCTCCCGTTCATTCAAGTCTTGTGGCAATTCAAACCCAAGTTGATTTCCTTTGAATTTTCTGTTTATATTTAGAGTAGTTTTATTTCAATAACTCGAGGGGTTCTGCTTCGAAATATTTTTTTCTTACAATTTTCCGTTTCAATGCTCTAACCCCGTTGCACTGGACTATATGAGTTAATCGGAGTCAACTGTGGCAAAACGTTGTCATAGGAGTAAGAATCAAGAACCATGAGGCTGTATTCAAGGTTTATCGAAAGTCGGGAGAGTATTTCTTTCGTCGGCACATGTAGATAATACCTCAATAATAAACCTATGAAAGGAATAATTAAATATGTTTCAGAAAGGAATAAGACTTCCTTCACCTGTCGTGAGGCATTTCAAATGTTCAACGTTTGTTCGTCCCACTCAATAAAATAAAACCACCTTCTTGTTGGTTTCGTTTGATCATGTGTTTTCTTAACAATAGCGTAAGTAGATGTTCAAAACCCATTCTTAGAGGGAAGTTTTGATCTTTTATCCACATTATCTGATAATATTAGGAGGTAAAACTTAGTTCAGGCTTGTCGCCAAAGACATAGTCGATTAAACAAATACATTTATCCCATTCTGAGGGCTAGTTCCTGTACACCTGCGATATTATAAATATCTACTTTTCCTTGCACACTGATGTCTGAATGAAGAGCTATTTATAAATTTTAACTGGTTAATTCATGTCATACATAGCCATCTTACTACCGACAATGACCTTCACACTTTTTTCATGTATTTAAAGACAGTGTATTAGGTTGCTCTAAATACGACTGCTATTTCCTTTTTTCGAGGTAGGTTTATTCATTTTATGATCTTTTTTCTTTCTTTGGCCTTTTGAAATTCATATTTCAGTGTAAACCACGTCAAACCCTGGTATTGTGGTGTGAAAGAACAACATTATTGGAGATATAACCTTCGACAGTTCGTCAATTAGCAACTAAGCTCATTGTTAGCAGACTGTTGTTGCGATATTACAGTACTTGGTTAGGTACGTTTTTGAGCTAATCAAGAAACGTCACAGAAATAACAAAGCTGTGACAGTATGAAAACAATATTGCAACTGAGTAGGTACAATAATATCTAAGCAGTGTCTTTTTAAAAGATTTTGGCCTAGGATTCTGAAACTGGAATGTTGAACAAGGCATCGTGGAACCTCTTTTTCTTTTACTTTCAGGAAGCCATATTTACGTAAATGCAACTACCTCTAATAACGTCACCAAAATCGAACTAATTACCATATGCTTGTGTGCTGTCTGAAACAGTCCTAAAAACTGATATTTCAGTGGGAACTCAATGGCTTCCCAACATAAGCAACATCACTCATTACCTGAAAAGCGAAGATAGCATGTTTGTTCCTGCCTCCCACTGCATTTCATGGTTTGCTGTGCTCGGCACTGTATGTCTGGCCACAGTCATCCTTAATATCATCATCATTATTATATTTGCGAAGCAGCGCCGGCTACAGAGGAAGAGTACATACTTGATCATCCATTTGGCCATAGTTGATCTCTTAGTCGGGGCGGTTACTGGGCCTCTTTGGATTGAATTGTTTGGGACCTTGTACTGCGATCTTTGGGAGTACGATCTGCCTAATAGCATTTGGTTATCCGCACTAGAGGACGCGACTGGGTATAGTATCGATAAAGTCTCGCTTCTTAACCTCGCTTTTATTGCATTAGAACGAACGCACGCAACATTCTTTCCTTTCAAGCATCGTTCTGTAAAGAAATGGGTTTATGGAGTGGTTATAATTTTCTCATGGTTAGTCCCTGCAATCATGATCTTTACAATGCATGGACTAACAATCTTCAATCATGTTGGCCTTAAAATTAGTTTGGTTATCTCCTCATATATTTCTATTCTTCTTTTACTTATATTTGCATGCTATGTTTCTATTTACGTCAAAGTTCGTGGTGATCGTTTTGCTCAACTCCATGGTGCAGCCGGTCTGAGGGAAAGAAAACTGAAAAGTACAATGTTTCTTGTCACATTTGGATCGTTGTTAACCTTCCTACCGCTGGTGATATTCTGGGGTGTTGTGGCTTTTGATTTTAATCTGTTTTTCAGCCTTCCCATCGATTATGCTTTCCATATTCACATGGCCGTGGTAACATTTTATGTGTTCAACTCGCTAATAAATCCTATAATTTACGCCGTACGGATGCCACAACTAAGAGCAGGTATATTACAAATAATATTCCGTAGGACTCCACGCCATCAACACCGGGTCAACACTCCACTTCAGGATCGTTAGTTTATAATGTTTGGAGAAATATAAAATTTAAAGAAAAAAATTTAACCTTGAACTAAACGAGGAAAATTCGTGCGCGCCTCTCTACATTGCTAACACAGGTCCATGACGGATAACTAACGTCAGTGATGATGTTCAAAGAAAATATTGTTTGTCTGGTTAAGCGTTAAAATGGGAAAAAATGTTGACTCACTGGTTGGGCTGTTATGATGAAATAACTGTGTAGCCAGTAATTTCAGTAATGTAAGATAAGGAGTCCATGGTCGTTTTTTCACATAAAGGCTCAAAAGAATGAAAAGCCTTTGCCGAGATCAATACTATTTCTATCAACAAACATTGCGCAATCGACATTGCTCATCCTAACAGGCATTCTGTTTAGCTGCAGGTTTTAAAACAGAATGCAGTCATTCACAATGTAGCAGAATCGGAAAAAATTCCTGTTTTATTTCTTTAGGTGATGACACCGCTGATATCAATCAATCAATAAACTTTATAGAAGCATTTTTGACAGTCTTGTAGACACGTTTCACTTAGGACGGTACATAGGAAGGACGAATTTATTTAAGGCAACCCGAAAATATGATACCATAGACAGCTATGACCGGCTGAATTGTTATGTATTGCTTGTATTTGTTGTGACTGACTACTCAATGCATGGGTTAAAAATTGAAAGCCAACACTCGTTATCACAAGATAAAAGAAGCTCAAAGACAAGTCTTCAGAAACTGTGGCGTGACATGGATGATCTTCATGGTCAAATAGAAATAAAAGTAGAGAGAAAGATACAGATAAATGATAAAATAAACATTCCCTTTGTTGAATACTTGCGTTTGGTTTGGTTAGGTTTTGTTTTGCTTTGCGGATTGTCAGCCAGAATGTAACAGAAAACAATCACCACAAATGGGTAGTGAAAGAAATAAAAACTCTTTTCACAACCAAGGGTTATGATCCTGCTAATAAATCAATCAATATTCTCTTGAAGGCCCTAAAGTCTATCTCATAACTGCGCAGTTTTATTTACGTGTGCTAAGTCTACATCTGGCTTTCCTCTTGGCTTGGTAATGCAACAACAAAAAAGGTTCTAACAGCTACCACAAGGCAGTAGGAGATTGGAATGGTGTGCTTGAGCATTAAAAATATTCACTAAAGTTGTAGTGTTTGAATTGTTGGGATAAATGGTCGCATGGGGATGGTAAGTTTAACGAACAATTTCAAATTTTGCCGCTTGAATTGAAAGTAAAGTTCATTTGAATTGCTTTCGTATGTATTTCTGTTGGTTTTAGATCTACCTGCTTGATTTCTATCGGTTACGCTTCATGTAAACAAGTCCCTCAAAATGGCGGCCAAACTTGGAGATTGCCGAAAATTAGGTAAGTTCACGGAGTTATAAAGTTCTCGTAAAGGTCGGGCCGCAAAGTTTTTTTCTGTAGTTACCTTTTCTATGGCACCTACTTCCTAGCTATGTTAGTTGGATCAGTTAAGAACGCCTCACTTTTTCAAAAATTTACCTTGAATTTGATCGGTTTTGGCGTGTGTGATTTAGGCGAACCGATAAGGTGTCATTCAAGTCTCCCTGTTTCCTTGATTGACACGTGATGTTTACGAAAGTCACCTCGATAGATAAGATAGAGTTAATATACATGGCTGTGGTATTTGTTTTTTGCTGAGTTCCGTAGTTTTTTGTAAATTTTCCTCCAAAGTTGTATGAAATTAAAGTCTTGAAAAGTGTCACGACAAGCCTTCGCTCGAGTGAAATTTAATTTCCGTAAAACTCTGAAAAATAGAGAGATCCGATCAAACTGATTGTGGTTTTAGTATAGGTACTTGAATGTCTTACAACACACGAGAAACGAGCGAAATCTGTGTCTCAAGCAAAATCGACCGGACCGCTCTTACAGAGACACTCTCTTAACTTCCTTATCAAAGGGACAAAAGCTAAAGGCACAAGACTTAATGACAGTTTTTTTGGCTCAATTATGAATTTACTTCACATAATCATCGTTTAGCCGAAGACTGCCACGCTTTCCATACTGAAGCCCTCGCTTACTCAATTCTTGCGGTAACTCAAACTAAGGTTGATTTCCTTTGAACTTTCTGTTTACGTTTCGAGTATTTTATTTCAATACTTCGAGCTGTAGGTATCTCAAGAATTCTGCATCCTAAACGGGAATTTTCTTTCCTTTATTTACATCTATATATACTTTTTTTTTTTAACAATTCCGTTTCATTACTCTAACCTCCTTTCACTGGCAGTTCATCAGTTAGCAACGGTAGACAGAGATAGCTAGCAGAGTGTCGCAGTAACATTCACTTTGCGTGGTCAGGTAAATTATTGTGCTCTTCAAGACATTTCACCGAAATAATTAAGCTATGATGGCATGAAAATAAGATTGCAATCGTAAAGTAACTCGTGAGCTTCAAAGTACGATCAAAGTTTTTTACGCTGAAGACTCTTAAATTGGATTATTTAACCGTGCCAATGTCCAAGCATTTTATGCTATCACAGACTTTTAGGAAGCAATATATATTTCTAACCGCAAATAGCTTTTACATCAATAACCAAATCGGATTAAATACCGGGATCTCTGTCGTCGGAATAATGACCAAAGGAAAATAGATGAATTTAGTAATGATTCATGCTAACCAGTAAGTATCTGCACTGGCACAAGTCGACTTAAAGGCATACACGTGACTCAAAAGTGGAGGATCGAAGACGGCAATTGGCGATATTTTCAATAACAATTTAAGTCCAGTTTTTTAGGTGCCAGTTTCGCAATCGCATGGCAAAAAAAAAATTATAAAGAAACGCTAGGCCCAGCGCAAAAATTTTGACGTAAAAATAGCCAGTCGGAAAACCGCTCAAAATAATTTGAATGTTCCATTAAAAACTTCATTAATCAGTAGCATTTACTGATACAAGCACCTCCCACCCTTCCCTGCCTACTAATAGGGAGTACCACAGGGGCCCTCTGGAAGGAAGTTAATTGGCATTTATGTGGTCAGTATTTAACATTTTGCAAATGAGGATAACTATTGGAGGTGTGATACATAGCGCACAAAATGGATATGAATATGGATTCTTTCTTTTTCGATATTTGAACAACAAAGAAAAATTGTGCTAACTTTCTGGAGAAAGAAAACAGTTGGAATTCCACGTTCCAAAGACATAATGAGTAGAAGAACCTGGCTGGAACGTATCGATTTCCTTGGGAATCTTTGGAAGTCGCTCAGCTTTCATCGGGCTGTTGGAGTGTGAGCGGTTTAATACTTACTTTACTTTGTGGCTGTCATTGTCACTCAGATTCCAGTAATCGTCATCACTCCTGTTTTTTATTTGAGCCTGCTGTGCCCACTGATTACACCGAGAGGTAGAAATAAACGTCGTTTTATGTAATAGGCATGGGTTTTCATGACTACCGGAATTGCGCGTGCCTCTGTTTGTCTCTCCTATGAACCTGATAATTTTCAAAGGCTCCCTTTGTATTTTTTTTCATCTTTTTCCCCTTGCGGCATCTACAAATGTCCATAGTCGACCAAAGTAATAGTCTCCGTTAGTATGATATTTGACGTTAGGCTAGAAAGTCAGCAAATGTTAGGGTTGAGGCCGAACAGTCGCACAGCATGAGATAATAAACAGTTCATGACCTCTTGCGCACAGCTATACCTCCCTCCACCCCCTCTTTACCTTTCAAACTTAGACCAACGTGTCTGTTCTAATTTTTCTAATAATTGTTTCCTTAGCTTACTTCCGATTTCACTATGCCGCCACTCTTGGAGTTCAGTTCGCCTGATCGAAATTTTACGCTGCTGAGTGTTTCTTGCCCTCACCCTGCTCTGCTGCCGGTTATCTTCGTAAATTGACACAATTCTATTTCTGTCTCGTACTGAATACCCAGGCAGTTCTCCTACACTGTGTAAAATGGCAGAGAGCGCGCTCGGCCCAGTGGTTACCGCCTCTCTTACTCCCGCTGGTACCTGGAGGCGCTGTTTGAAAAGGAGGCTATTCGTTACCCAGAAGTCATGGCGCGCTACGTGTATGGGCTATCGACAAGGAATGGTTATACACTGGATAACTACAGCTCTTGTGTAGCATTTTTTTATTACCATGGGGTTTGCTTACCGATTGCTGGCTTTGTTGTTTATGTTGTTTACAAATAAAGGGAAGCAACATTAGCTGCATCTTGTTGTTAGAGAAATCTGGAGGAAAGCGTATTATTGTTAAACTTAAGCGTGGCTTTAAATTAGATAATCAGATTTCATTTTTTTTTGCGTGTGTCCTGTGATAGTGAACACAAGAAAAGGAATTAGACGAAGGAGCCAACTTGTACAAACTTTATTTTGTTGTCAGTTGAGAGCATTTATTTCTGTTTTGTTGATTTTTCCCTCTTCGTTAGCGTGCTCGGAGGTGCCATCTATGTTTAACTTGTTAAGTGTACCGCCAAGTGTGTTGTGATGTACACACAAGGCTTAAAATGACTATGCTAAGAGGTCACCTCTGTTAGTTCGAAAAGTCAGAATCACTATCGTCTAATTTTATGCGCAAGAATGCCTAAACCGGTGATCTTTGTCGGTTTTTGATAAATCACAATTGATGATTTAAAATGCAAGTGAAGGTTTCATATTTGTTAGGAGATTCGTGGGCTCGAGTAACGGTCACTTTGGAAATGAGCCCGCAAACTTACAAGGCCATAAAATAAGTTTGATGATTGGATATCTGTTAATTATTAAACTATTAAAATTATTAAAATTATTATTCTCGGTAGTCAGTTATATTTTTCCCCCTTTATCGCTGGTCAATTAACCCGATCCAGATCCTCTTCACACATCATCAAAGCGATCGCTAACAAGTGATCGCTAATGTTTTAAAAGAATCTTATTTTTCAAATAATTTTTGCAATAGCAACTTAGATGCGCAGGTGGCCATGTTTTGAGACGCAGCTTAACGGATAGAAATATTTCTGATTAAAAGATCTCGGAAACTGTGATTGTAGTGGTTAACTTTTAGCGATTCCTCGTTGTGAAAAACATTTTCTATGACGCGGTTTTCTCTTTTAATTGGGAAAAAGGAGAGGATTTTTTCACTGAGAAATGTATGATACGTTGGACCCAATTTTAACATCTGTGCTGACGCAGTTAAAATAATCTCTTCACGTTTCTTCCTCTCACTCGGGCAATAACCATTCACTTTGTGTACAATGCAGAACATTTAGGCTAATTGCATCGTTCATGTTTTGTGGACATCAACAGAAATCAATCTTTAAGTAAACATCTTACCACACAATCTATTTACATTAATTAGGGTTGGCTCAGCGATAGTCAATATAACGAATGTCCGTCCAGAATGGGCTGCATAGAGATATCTTTTTAGGCAAATTGATCCATTTATTTGCTTACACCGCCGGTAAAATAAGTAACATATCCTATCATATTTCGCCTATTGATTATTTGCCCTTCCTATCCAGCTGCTCTCGTATCGGCTTTCATCTTTGGGTTCACGGAAGACTTATTAACAGTTTTTTTTTAGTCAATTATGAATTTACCTCAAATAATCATCGTTTCGCCGTTGACTGCCAAGCTTCCCACACTCGAACTCTTGTTCATTCAAGTCTTGCGGCAACTCAGACTAAAGTTGATAGTTTTTTAATTTTCTGTTTACATTTCGAGTAATTTTCTTTCAATAACTCGAGGAGTTCTGCTTCGAAATAATTTTTTCTTACAATTTTCCGTTTCAATGCTCTGACCGCATTGCACTGGACTATATGAGTTAATGGGAGTCAACTGTGGCAAAACGTTGTCATAGGAGTAAGAATCAAGAACTATGAGACTGTATCCAAGGTTTATCGAAAGTCGGGAGAGTATTTCTTTCGTCGGCACTAGTAGATAACACCTCAATAATAAACCTATGCAAGGAATAATTAAATATGTTCCAGAAAGGAATAAGACTTCCTTTACCTGTCGTGAGGCATTTCGAATGTTTAACGTTTGTTCGTTCCACTCAGTAAAATAAAACCACCTTCTTGTTGGTTTCGTTTGATCATGTGTTTCCTTAACAAAAGCGTAAGTAGATGTTCAAAACCCATTCTTTTAGTTCACGAAAGAATCTTAGAAGAAGGTTTTAATCTTTTATTCGTATTATCTGATAATATTAGGAGATAAAATTTAGTTTAGGCTTGTCGCCGAAGACATAGCTAATTAAACAAATACGTTTATCCCATTCTGAGGGCTAGTTCCTGTACACCTGTGATATGATAATTAACTAATTTTCCTTGTACACTGGTGTTTGAATGAAGAGCTATCTAAAAATATTAACTGGTTAATTCACGTCTCATATAACCATCTTACTACCGACAAGGACCCCCACACCTTCTTCATGTATATAAAGAGAGTGGATTAAGTGACTGAATACGACTGCAATTTCTTTTCAAGGTATGTTTATTCATTTTTATGATTTTTTTTCTTTCTTTGGCCTTTTGAAGTTCATATTTCAGTAAAAGTCACTTCAAACTGTGGTATAGGGGTTTGAAAGAATAACATTATTGGAGATATAATCTTCGAAAGTTCGTCAATTAGCAACTAAGCTAAAGCTGTTGTTGTGATATTACAGAACGTGATTAAGTACGTTTTTGTGCTAATCAAGAAATTTCACAGAAATAATAAGGCTGTGACGGTATGGAAACAACATTGCAACCGGGTAAGTACAATAATATCTAAGCAGTGCCTTTTTAAAAAGTTTTTGGCCCAGGAAATTGGAAATTTGACCGAGGCATTGTGCAAGCACTTTTCCTTTTACAAACTTTAAAGAAGCCATATACATGTAAATGTAACTACCTTTGATAACGACACCAAAATCGGACTAATTACCTCATGCTTGTGTGCCAGTGGTTGAAACAGCCCTGTCAAGTCGTCGAATACAGTTTATTCAGATATGTTCACATTATCCCTTGCAGTCATACGTTAGTGGCGTGTATTGTTGAGAAATATTAAAGTCTCAATCGTTATTGTCTACACATGGTTTAATCAAAAAAAAAAAAAAACTTTTTTAGCATCGCAAAAACAAGCCAGTTCAGGAAAGATTCTGTCGTTCATTGAAAATTTAACAACTTGTCTCCATTTGTAGGTCGTTTGGTGAAATAATATTTCAGTGGAAACTCAATGGCTCCCAACACAACTAACATTGCTCGTTACCTTCCTGCCTCCCACTGCGTTTTATGGTTTGCTGTGTTCGGCATTGTATGTCTGGCCACAGTCATCCTTAATATCATCACCATTATTATATTTGTGAAGCAGCGCCAGCTACAGAGGAAGAGTACATACTTGATTATCCATCTGGCCATAGTCGATCTCTTTGTCGGGGCGGTTAGTGGGCCTCTTTGGATTGACTTTTTTATGAGCCTGTACTGCGATCTGTGGGAGTACGATAGGCCTGATAGCATTTTGTTATTCGTACTAGGGAGGGCTACTGGGTACAATATTGATAAAGTCTCGCTTCTTAACCTCGCTTTTATTTCATTAGAACGAACACACGCAATATTTTGTCCTTTCAAGCATCGTTCTGTAAAGAAATGGGTTTATGGAGTGGTTATAGCTGTTACTTGGTTATTCCCTGTAGTAGTGATGTCTTTAGTGTTTGAACTGATAAACTTCAATCACGTCAGCCCTAAAATTACTTCGGTCCTTTTCTCATATATTTCTATCCTTCTTTTAGTTATATTTGCATGCTACTTTCTCATTTATATCAAAGTTCGTGGAGGTCGTTTTGCTCAACTCCATGGTGCAGCCGGCCTGAGGGAAAGAAAACTGACAAGTACAATGTTTCTTGTCACATTTGGATCGTTCTTAACTTTCCTGCCGCAAATGGTCTTCTGGGGTGAATTTGCGTTTGATTTTAAGCTACAATCCAGCCTTCCCACCTATTACGCTTTTCACATTTCAATGGCGATGTTTGTTTTTTTTGTCTTCAACTCGCTAATAAATCCTATGATTTACGCCATACGGATGCCAGAATTTAGAGCAGGTATATTACAAATAATATTTCGTAAGACTCTACGCCGTTCGAACCCGGTCAACATTCCTCTTTAGGATCGTTAATTTATAGTGTTTGGAGAAATATAAAATTGAAAAAAAAAATTAAGCTCGAAGTAAACATGGAAAATTCTTGCGCGCTTCTCTACATTGCTAGCACAGGTCCATTACGGAAAACTAACGTCAATGATGATGTTTAAAGAAAATACTGTTTGGTAGGTTTAAAATTATGGGGATAAAAATATTGACTCACTGATTGGGCTGTTATGATGAAATAACTGTGTAGCCAGTAATTTCAATAATCTTAGATATAGAGTCCATGGTCATTTTATTTTTCTCACATAAAGGCACAAAAGAATGAAAAGCCTTTGCCTAGATCAATAAAAGGACATTGAAGTGTTTATTTCAGTACCGTTGTTTCCATGTAGAGTACATACTACTTGTGTGATGACACCGCTGATATCAATCAATCAATCAACTTTAAAGAAGCATTTTTTTACATTGTTGTAGATACGTCCCACTAAGGACGGTACATAAAACGGACGAGTTTACTTAAGGAAACCCGAAAATGTGATAATATAGACAGCTATGACCGGCTGAATGGTTATGTTAGTATTGGTTGTTATTTGTAATGACTGACTACTTAATACGTGGGTTAAAAATTGAAAGCCAACACTCGTTATTACAAGAGAAAAGAAGCTGAAAGACAATTCTTTAGAAACTGTAGCGTGACATGGATGGTCTCCACAGAAATAAAAGCAGAGAAAGATACAAATGAATGATAAAATAAAACCTCCCTTTGTTGAGTAATTGAGTTTAGTTTGGCTTGGTTTTGCTGTGCGAATTATTAGTTAGAATGTAACAGAAAACAATCACCATAAGTAGGTAGTGAAAGAAACAAACACTATATTTACAACCATAGGTGATGATCCCGCTAAAAAATCAATTAATATTCTCAATTTAGGGCCCTAGATGTCAATTTCACTATAACCCTTGCGCATGGAAAAAAGTTAATGGCTAGATTTCACCACGTAGTTCACGGTTATTCAAAGAAAACCTTGCGCTACCCTTGTATCAATATTACCACCACCATTTCTTTTAATACAGCGGAAAAAGCGATGATCTCTCCCCAAAATCGTTTATTTTGGATATCGAAATAATCCCTTGCCATACATTCCTTTATTGCGAGTTGCAATATTTGCCCCGTGGCAATCCCAGAGATCTTTGCGCAAACACAAGGATCCGATTACTGGCAACTCATTCATTACTGAGTAGTGGGTGTGAAGACCACGCTGTGAGGTGATCATTCAGCGTAATAAGTGCCGCGCCGTGCGCTGTTTTCAATCCAACTTTTGTGCCTTACTCTCGGGCAATAACACTAACATCTTTTGAGAAGGGGAGGCTAGAATGACCCCAAGGATCCACCCTCTCTACCCCGGAAATTATATAATTATTAAACTGAATCCGGAATGACTTTTGCAATAGCAACTTAGATGCGCAGGTAAAAAGTTCTGCTTCAAGATGTTTTTTTTTTCTTACAATTTTCCGTCTCATTACTCTGACCCATCGCACCGGACTATATGGGTTAATGGGAGTCAACTGTGCATATTACTCCTGATTGGCAAAACGTTGTCATAGCAGCAAGAATCAAGCACTATGACCTCATCGTTAGCAGACTGTCGTTATGATATTACAGAACGTGGTTAGGTACGTTTTAATGCTAATCAAGAAATTTAACAGAAGTAATAGGGACTTTCAGATGCAGGCTCGAGCTCTACTACGGCGACCGGAAGTCTACCCTTTAAACCCGTCGGACTGCGCATATCCAAGGTGGGAATTCACACCGTACTCTTGCCATCTGCTACGGCAAAATCGTCTCGTTCCCGTAGTGGTAAGTACGTCAGAATTTGCCGTAATATTGTGTTTGAAGTCTTAATTATTTGAATTTTTCTTTGCGATTAAATTGATTTCGTTTCTTTACGAATTGATAAATCATAGCTAAGACGAAAATTGGTCAAAATGTATCTGTAGAAAAAAGATGTCAAAAAAAGGGACAATGGTAAGTATTTTTTTATCGTGTTCGTTCGTTTTAATTTTTTTTTGACTCAGTCGAGTTCATCGGTTTGCTTTTCCGGTACTAAGCTGGTGCATGGATACTGATAACAAGTTATTAAAAATTTCATTCATTTCTGTTTATTTTGATTTTTATAACAGGCCAATGGAGTGGACAACAGCGCACGACGTGCTGCTGTGCAGAGAAATTTTTTACAAGAGTTTTACAAGTTCAAGAAAGGAAGCAATGAAAGAGGAAGAACTTGGACGCAAATTTCCGAAAATCTCAACTGTGTAACTGCAGTCAAATTCAAAGTAAATCAAAGGGCGATGAGAAAGAGATTTGACTTTCTACTTGGAAGATCTCGACAGCAAAGTAAAGAAGAAGCAAAAGCATGTGGTGCATGTCTCGAACCAACAGAGCTCGACGTACTGTTAGAAGAAATGCCTGAAAGAAAGAAACTAGCAGAATCAACGAGAGAATCTTGTAGCAGCAAGAGCGTAGAAACAGATCGCAAAAAAGTCGAAGAGAAGCGTTGCCAAGCATTGGAAAGAATTGGTGAAACTAAAAGAAGGGCTAATGAAGAATGAAAGAACAGCGAAAAGGCAGCGAAGAAGCGGAGCTGATGTTACCGAATTTCTATGGAAAAAGTCAGAAAAGGAGCTTAAGATCCGTCAAGAGGAGCTCGCTTTGAAAGCAGGAGAATTTGGAAACGAAAAAGCGAAGCAAGCGAGATGTTAAAGACCCTGGATGCTATGATTGCAAACATGGCAAAACAACAAGATCAGATGCAAACACTTCAGATGGCTTTTTAGCAGCAACAGAAACAACAAACACAGACTATGATGGTGTTGTTAGAAAAACTTACGAAAAAGTAATAATGAACTAGTTTTCCAACAGAGATGACGTCGCATTAATTTACTCTTCCTTGTATATTTGTTGCAGCTTCAAGTTTCTGATTTTGTTTTTTAAATGTCATTTTGCATTGTCTGTTTTTTTAAAGTGGGTGTAAATTCTGTTGTGTTCTGCAAATATGATTTCCCCCTATTTTGTTGGAAATTTGTTCAGTGGTTTACACTATTCAAGATATATCTTAAATGAGTAAATTATTTCAGTGCTAACAACTATACTTTCTTTTTGTTCGGTTTAAAAAAAACCATAGTATCATGCAAAGTAAGTAAAAAGGTCTGGAGGGTTACACCGAAAGAACTCAGAAGTGTTATTTCCATACAGGCAAGTAAGGCTGTGTATTAAAAGTGCGCAAACGATATATATTTTCCCTACCGAGCTCAAACAAGGTTTTAAGTTCTTTGTAAAATCTAAAAACTTTAAATAGTTTACAATGTCTCCGAAGAGCCATTGAGCCAGAAGACCTCCATTTGAGGAGTCAAAACTGCATTTCTGAGTGGGCCCCAGAGGTTCACTCGCAAAGGATAAGCCGGATCACCGTATATACACAGAGGCCGTCCAGATAGCGAAAGGGCATATCGGTTGAGATCTGCCAATAGATTGGAGTCTGCCAACATCCCGGCATCATGTCTTCTTCCCTCTGAAAAATACAATGTGAATTAATAACTCAGAATTAGTAAGTACGTCGTAAATAAAGTTGCATTTGCTGTTGCCTCACTCTTAGAATAAATTATTTGTTATTGATCGAATACAAAAACCATACAAACACATAAGCAAACATAACTATTGGAATGCAAACACTCTAAAGTACCCACCAACAGGTCCAAACATATTATTAATCATTCCGTCTGAGGTTACGACAGACTGAAATTTGATAGCATGGACACGGGTAAGCCCGTTGTGGACGATTCTTTGGTTGCATTCTGGTCTAGATATAGGCCAATCAGTTCCGTCGACAAACCCGAAGCAGTTATCCAGTGGTGCTTCTTTTCTGTGAACTACATCGGCGTAGTATTCCAGATTCCTGGGTCTAATGAGTAGTATTCTAGATTTCATTGCTGAATACGATGACCATGAGTTGCATAAATGTAATCCAACACTTCATTTGTTATCATGCTGATAACAGGAACAGGCCAGGCTTGGCGAACCATTGTACCATGTCGCTGTACCGACATGGATAACACATGCCTTTTAGCAGCATACATAAAGCTTCTTCTCCATCACAAACACTCCCTTGGCTGCATCCTACGGTTGCAGGAATTTGTAGAGCCTCAGCAAGTACCGCTACGTGCATTTTTGTAAACCCTAAACTGTGCCAAACATTCGTCGTCACTAAAATTCTCGAGTCATACGGAAGTTCTAAGTTTTGTAATTCGTAACCAGTGTAAGGCAGCAAAAATTCGTCATCACTAATGTAATTTATGTCATAACAAAGACGGATTAACTCTCTATTGCTAGCTTGAAGGGTGACATTTTTGCCAATAAAATGACTGCACAACAACGCTTTGAGCTCTGAGCTTTTCGCCGTATTGTCACTGCTCCTTAGCGATTCGTACTTGGCGGGAAATACGCCGTACTCATCCTAATCCATCGCGACCAAGGTAGACGTAATAAATATTCACCGTACCGTATCTTGAAGTCCCTAATCTCCTGGCATGGCGCGAGTTGTTTGCGAACCTTTATGAGCTAAAATCTCCTAGTTGATTTTGGGAGGAATACAACCGCTTTGAGCGAATTTATAGGGTATATAGATTTGACCGATTTTCGTCAAATTTCGCCGAAACATCCTTGGAGTAATGACAAACGAAAGTGTGTCGGGAAATTTTGATATTTGAAATATTTGTCGTGGGCGTCCATTTACGCAGCACGACTCGCATATATAGCTACTCCAACTTTAGATACCGATATCTACACAACCTATCAGAATATCGAAAAAGCCTGACACGCTTTTGTTTATTGATGCCTTGTGAATGAGACTGTGCAGCTATTTTGCTCGTGCTGCAGCATTCGATACCCGATAGATTCAATGGACGAACCTTCCGTCGTCTCGCGCCTTAAATGATTTCATGATTGCAACTAATGTTCACCGCAAACTCCTTTACACGAACAATGTGCTTTGAAAACTTCCGCTCTGTCATCGCTCTCCTTGAAGATTACGGCTAAAAATGAGGTTCTTCGCTTTTTCTTAAATATCTATAGCAATGTGCTTCGACGTAGAAATCCTGTGACGGCTGACATGCGTAAATATCGTAAAAAAACCTTCTCGAAAAAACCTATAGCTTTTCTCTCCAGCATTTTTTTTTTCAGACTTGCTCAAGCCACAAAGACCAAGTTGTTGGACTAAATTTTGGGAACTGATTCCTTGAGGATTTCGACCAGGTCTGCTGTTATGTGATTAAAACAACTACAGTAACGCACGTGATTTACACAGAGATTACAGGCAGCCGCGTTTTGAAACAAACCAAAGTGTTGGGATTAGTTTCTAAAGAAACTATGGTGCTGCGTCGGTAGGGATACATGAAAATAATTTGGTTTCATCAAACGAGTTGATAAAGTGAATTAACCACTGTAGTTAATTTACTTTTATCAATCGACTTGTTTGATAAAGCAAATTATATACAAAAGTGAGCTTTGTTGTCACGCAATGTGAGCACACAATTCAATCTCACACGTGAGTTAGCCGAATTTGTCTATTTCACTATGCTCCGTATCACATTAACATAGCTGGGGACGCTTGGTCTGATAAACATTAATTTCAGTTTGTCAAGAAACCATAACTTATTCCTTGTAGTTATACTTTAGGCTGAGGAGTAGAAGTGGAAGAGAAATATTCATACCTTCGCGATTTGTCGAACCACAAGCATTTGAATCTTGGAGAACGGAGAAGACAGGCTTTCCGCATGGTGACTACAATTTGGTTCATTCTCGGACTTTCCGTCACCCGAGTGGTTTATGGCGGAAAATGCGGAGGTAATAGATCTTATTTACTTGTCGTTTTATTGCATCTTGTGAGTTTTACGAAATGTGACCATATTTTGGGCGATCTTTGGGTTGGTTACTAAAGCATCTCTGGACACTTTACAAATGAGAGCGATCTGAATTTTAAATCAATTCAACATTTCTGTGCATGGTTGTTTGGTTACGCGCCATACTTCACCAATATAATGACACATCGCTTTGTATAATAACATTAGAAGGGAAAGGATATATCATGCAGCATTGTTTCGTTTACACAGACAAAATAAGGTTTTTATATTCCATCGAAACAGCGTGAGTAGTTTGAGGATGAATTAGACACTTGACCACGTGGAACTTGAACATACTTTACCAGCTGTCTTTCAAAGTTCAGATAGAAACTAATTGTTGTGAATGATATTTTTACGTTGAACCTGGCTCTTATATTCCAAATGAAATATGGCCTTAAGCTTAATTTTCTTTTCAAGGGCGATGAAGTGGGAAAGGGGCTGGCGGGCTCGCGAAAAAGGCTACCGGTGGTTAGGAGGAAAGACCTTTATTTATAAATTCTCTGCTTATGCTTATGACCGCAACCACTAGCTTGAGCGTGTGCTTAAGTTAACGTTTAAGTCAACGGGATCTCTAAATATTCCCACTTTTAATTCATCCGCCATAGTAATCTGGTTATTCGCCGCTCCCTTGGCTCCTTGCTCACCTCCCGCCTCCCTTAAAGAAGATGGATGGCTTTATTTTTAGTCGTGGATACGCGAAGCGTAGCAACGACTATTGTTAGGGATTAAAATATGCAAATTTGTCACTCACTCAGATGTCAACATACCTTGACCATGATGTGCCAACGGCGACACTCTGCGTCGCGACCCACTTTAAAATAAGACAAAAACCTTCCCACAAACACTATCTTACTCCTCCTCATTCACCTCCCCAAGATCTATGAAATATACCGGTGGGGGAGGACAGCAGCGCAAAAACTTAAGAGAAAGTTATGAATGAGCTTTTGTTAACAGAGGGCAGCTAAACTGATAGCCAACCAGCCAGTCGTTCATTTGCAATTTTGTCGGGATTCAATTGCTCTCCAATAGAATCCTATCCGAAAAGAACGAGGTGGAATGAAGCGAGTAACCTGTTCACAATCTGCAGCACATCCATACAAATTTTATGGTAGAAATCTGTTATAGTATACGCTTTTATAGCAAATAGTGACGTTAAAGGGATGGTGTAGGTCAAACGATAGCCAAAATGTGAATTCTGACTATTCAATCAACATCACCCCAGCAGTTCAAAGTAAATTCCAAAGAGTTTCAACGCTATCCGAGAGTTACCCATTGGCTGCCTATGTTTAGCTGTAAAAGTGTGTTTTTGTAAAGAGGAATTTAATTATTTTCAAAATCCATTGAAACGTAATGTATCCACGACTTATTTACAGTTTCCTTTAAGAAAACAATCAATTAAGCGATTCGTGTTAGAGAAATGAGGCCATCTTTAAGCTTAAAAACTTCAAGAGGAAGACATAGGGGTCTATTAGATTCCGCAAAACTGTAGAAAAAAAACTATTTCAAGTTATTTAGCACAAGAAACGAAAAACCGATCTCAAAAATAACCAAAACCGAAAATCCCAATGCCCCCCTCCTTTGAGTTGTTCTGCGGCCTTAAATGAAATCACGAGTAATGCAAATTCAAATAACTGCCGTCAATTTATTTCGGTTGCGTGCGTAAAAGGAAGCAGCGGTGTCTCTGTTGGTCTCTCTAGTCTGTGTAAAGGCTTTTTAGTGTTAGATCATTTCTTTTTCCGAACTCTTTACCGTGTGGGAAAGTCGGCCGCTGGAAGAGCCAGAGTGACGCGAATGACACAAAGAGGATGAGGGTACAGCTGCCGTTTGTTGTTCGTCACGCAACATCTCCTTACATGAAAATTCTGTCGGTACAAATTAGACGAGCATTAATAAGTTGCCCAAAATGTTACTTATTTTCCCGTTTCAGAGGAAGAAAGAGAGGATTAAAAACGAAGGCAATAAGGCAGTATTAATTCAAAAAGGAAATTGTATGGTTAAACGTAGGAAGTTAACACGGTGTATAGAAGAACGAAAAGTTGGGCTTAGCAAAATCCACTTTAGACATAGAAATTTTGATACTTCTATCAACTGCAAGTTAAAAGTAATATTCAGTCAAAATTGTTTGTTTTATCTTTGTATGCAGATGTTTTTGACGATTTACCCAAATCTTGTTGTCCCGCAAAGTACGTCGATGTCTGTTGTCCGCTTGCAAAACCGTGTAACGCTTCAGCAGCGAAACTTACCCTGAGTATGATGACATCTAGTCCAACGCAGACAAGCGGGGGAAAACCATTTTGTATGGAACCTCAAAATTCCTCAGCTTGTGGGGCGGGATTTTTCTTGAATAAACATTCAATGAAATTCGAACCCTGTCCTGATGGTAAGTTTGTAGTTCCCTGATGACATTTTATCAATTTGCCATCCCGGAAGTGGGAAGTCGCAACAACTTTCGGTTGTTTGTTATGATGAAATGGTTTCTTTCGCGGTTTATGGGTAAGATCTCTCTTCCATCAATATCCTAAGTGCACTCATGGAATGTTTGGTACAGTGGGAAGGGGGGGGGGGAATTACTTCCCATTCATTCTCTTCAATGAAATCAAAACGACGTTGTCACAACTTGCAAAGCAATCCCATTGGAATATATCAGCGGATAACTCCATTGCAGACGAGAACTACGTGTTATCAAGGAAAAACATGGAGGTTAACCAAGACAATAATCCTACCAGGCTGGATATTTTTTTCAAGGATCTGAAGACGCTTTTCGTTTTGTAACGAACTTCAGGCCGAGATCAAAACTTGTTTATTTTATTCGCTGTCGTCTCTGCTGATTTCTGCAGACTGGTTTAGGTAAGCCTTTGCATTGTAACACTCGTAGAACTAAATTGGTAAATAAGGGATTTACAGGGATTTATGTTTGTGTAGTTTCATATTATTTCATATGTTTAGAGAGAAAGCAATTTTTTTTTCTCTCGTACCCCGCTATTATGGATTCTCTTTATTGCAGGTACTAAATCTCCTCCCGACGGTGTCCACAATAACGGGAGTCGACTCTATACAGTTTTACTACGATTAAAGTTCTAAACTGATGTGGAAAAAACAAAGTTAGGAGTTATTCAAGACCAATTTCACACGTAAAGGATTTGAGCGAGACTGCTGGAAAGCCCTGAATTGACCGCTTTGCAAGTTGTGTCATCATCGTTTGTCGGTCTAAGACCTGGTCACTCCCCCCCGCCCCCCACCACCTCCTTCTCCTGAGTTGATGAATTAGACATAAAAGAGGCAGCGCAATTGTTTACATGTTCTCATGAAAGGGATGAATTTAACCCTCAGCAAAAACGCAATTAAGGCGAAAAGTCATCTGTCGGCTTGAAGTAAGAATCTACCGTAAAATAGAGGAAATATTGACTTTATGATTGTTTTTAGGCTTCTATTGTCTCTAGGATCGACTCTGTATCATACCATGTCCAAAGGGAGCATACTGTGTTAGAGATAAACTAGTTAACGCCACGGTAAGTTTTTTATGATCTTATTTACGACCAAGCGAGTGGAACGGTGCTTTCATGGTTGGTTCGACACTGGCTGGGTCTTTGGGCAAAACAGTTTAATTTTGCAGTGTCCTTACCACCCAGGAGTGTTATTGGCTGACGGCCAATTGTCTTGAGCTAAAATCAGTTTTCAGATAGAGGCCTAAACAATTTCGACTTCCTCTCACACGTGAGTAGATCCTGGAGTTAACTGGGAAGGGGGGCTCGCTAAAGTGATCTTGCAAGAACTATAATGCCGATGAGGTTTGAGTCTGATAACACACTTTGCCGACGTTTAATGAAACCAGTGTCACTTTACGTGTTTTCAATTGCAGATTTACGCTTCTAAATTCTCTGTTCTAAGTGACGATCTTTATGCTGTCATATCTTTAATGGCAGAGTCCGTGGTGCGCTCAGCTCATGATGAAAACATTCATCTTATTTCCTAGAAAAAATCGCCTTTATTGTGCCGCGAGAGTGGAAAATGCTGCAATACTTCTCAGTCCCCTCCTATCTTTGATTCTCATGCAGCTTCTAAGTATATTTGCCCTGGAGCAAAGCGCCCAAATCCCTGTCCTCCACGCTACTATTGCCCAAACGTCACCATTAAAAAGACGTGTCCAAGTGGACATTTCTGTCGGAATGGAAGCATGGAACCACAACGCTGTCCGGTATGAGTAATTAGTCTTGTTACATATATTTGGTAATAGTTATAATATTGTTATTCGATAATGCACATCCGAAGGCATCTCCTAAATGGTAACAGCTGTTAAAGATAGATACGAGAGAAACGGGATTTTTAAGGCCATTTGGCCAAGTGAAATCCAAGTTCAAAACTATGGAAATTATAAATGTTCATGGAAATACTTTAATCTCAGAATTAATTCAGCTGACTGTTACTCCGTACTACAAATATGAATATCAATAGCAAATGCTAAAACTGCAAAGAATACTAAATAATGCTCATAAAATGCATCCTTTTCATGAATGCTGTGCATTATAAGGATTTAGTTCATTTACGGGGAAGAAATCGATGCAACTAGATTTAAGGAGGAATAAATTTGTGCCTTCCGTGACTTTACAGGTTGACTATCTCATGGTGCCAAACCTCTTTCTAACTGAAGCTGTCAGGTTGGTAAGGTTGTTTCGGAGCAGTGAGTTGCTAATTTTGCTGTCCACGTCGAAGTTGCAATACTTATCCCAGCTGCTTTTGCATCTACTTTAAGTGTAAATAAAGTATGGGAATGTCAATTCATCTTCTATCGTCCATTTGCATTTAGTGGTAGAGACATGTGGAAGATGCCATCCCTGTTGTTGCATGCACAACTCCTTGTTGAGCGCAGTCTTATTTTGGTCTATTTTTAGATTCTCTCCGTATGCAAGAAAGGGTCTTCAGCTCCTATGAGCGCCCCTGGTGGTGTTTTACTCATCTTAGCAATATTGCTGGTAATGCTGTTGCTTTTGCATTGTTTCAACCACGAAGAAAAACTTATAGAATGGTGTGAACGTTATGTAACAAAGAGACTCTTCGCAAAACGACGTTTAAGAATGCAAGAGAGTATCAGGAGGAACACTTTGGATAAATACCGAGAGGAGGCGGACCCAAAGACACAAACCATCACCATTCGTTTTCGAAACCTTAGCCTCTCTCTTAAAAAGGTAACTACCTGGTTGTGCAGAGGGAGAGGGGAGGGAAGGAGGTCTTTTGTTATCAATCTCAAAGTAACGGTCAATCTCATGAACGAATATTCGCCAAAGAGTATATTTCTTACTACAGAGTCCGGAGACGTTAATTAGTCACGTACTATCGGCAGCCAAAATACGATTGTGGTTAGTGTTACTGCTACTGCCCCTGTTATTATAATAATACATATGATAATAATAATAATAATAATAATAATAGTAATAATAGTATTGATAATGAAAATAATAATAGTTGAAATGATATCATCTTCATCTTGTTATTCGTATCATTCATTACTTTTTTTTTTGTTTACTTTTGGCGCCAAAGTGCTACAGGGGAATTTGTTAACACTTAGAAAAAATTCGGCGCGAAAGTGCGTCACGGAAAGTAAAAAACCAATTTATGGGATATATTTCGAAGGACTGTGCGTTAAAGTAAGATTTTCTGCATGCGCAGGAGAGTAAAGGAAGAATTTATGCTTTGAACATATTTCAATTGGAGCATAATCTTCAGTGGAAGGAGAATACTAAAGAATGAGTCAGAGCTTACTCCTACAAATATTTTTTAGAGACACCACACACATTGTAATTAACAGAATTTTTATTTAGTTATGCGTTGTGTGCTGTTTTCTTCATTTTAACAGACAAAAGTAGCCATTCTTCAAGGCGTGTCCGGTCAACTCCTACCTGGGGAAGTAACTGCGGTAATGGGTCCCTCGGGATCCGGCAAAACAACGTTTCTCAACACCCTTAGTGGAAAAGCCTATTATGGGGTTGGTTTTCCATGTGAAATAAGTGTAACAAAAATACTCTCATCGGAGCTTAAAATTCGAGTGAATTCTGCCAATTATTGACTTCAGCACTCTTGAGCTCAAGGGTGTGATCAGTCCCTGGATGCTGTAGAAATCGACGCATTCCTAGGTGCTACCAGGGCTTCGTTTTCCCTTAGTGTCTAAAACTGAAAATGGTCTGATAGTATTAAAAGTGGCCATTAGCGATATAAAAGATGGCTGGATGGTTAGTTCTTTGTAGGAGCCTTCGGCTAACAGAATCCGATAAAGGAAAACTAAATAGTTCCATCATTTAAAGAGAAAATATGTCTTTGAAAACCTGCGGAAAATACTATTTTTCTTGCTATTTTTTGTAGTTGCGACTAATATTTACAATACCACAACTAGAAAATCTATTTTTGAGACAATGCTATCACTACTTATGACAAGCATGTTCAACTTGTGGTGTAAATCTATTGTGACTTCATGAGCGCACAAGTAATTGACTTGACGAACAGAATTGAGATTGAAGAGAGATCTTGTAAAACGATGCTCTTAGAAAGCGTCAGGGTTGACTTAATTAATCAAATTTCAAGGCCACTTACTGCAGTTTTTCATTTCTGTTTTCAGAAACGCGCCGGTAGTCTATTCATCAACAACAACTTTGTACACGACTTGGGTGTTTTCAGAAACATCACGGGATTTGTTCCGCAGGTTTGTTTTGCGTCAGAAAAAAGGAAGCAACTGCTTGGTTTTTTCTATCGGTGTACTATCGGTGTCGTTCAAGAGGGCCACCACCGCGCCCAGCGCCCAGAGACGGTTAAAGTTCTTTATAATAAAATGCTTGGGACAATTCGAGTTATTGATGCAGTGTTTGAAATTAGACTTAAACAGAATATGATTCAACGCAAGGATAAGAAGGAAACTTCTGTGTCAGACAACCTGAGGAATTAGTCCTGTGCTCATCCACATTATATGTCTCTATTCAACTTGTACTGTTTTTTTCAGGAAGATATCATGCACAGAACACTGACGGTGAAGGAGGTTTTGATTTATCAAGCAAATCTAAGATTGCCATCCTTGATTTCCAAAGACGAAAAGGAAAAAAGAGTCAACGAGGTATGTCGCCGATTAAAATCTTTCATTGTATTGGAACTGAGTAATGGTAATGAGGGACCTGTAAGTAAGCTCGTTCTACATCACTCACGTTACCATTAAATTAAATAATAAAATTGAAACAGTAAAAACTGACCCTTTTGGTTTGGCAGGTCTTGGATCTTCTTGATTTGGCGCACGTCAAGAATACAAAGATTGGGGACGAGGTATGGGCTTTCTAAGAGAAAAACGCTTGCCAGTGTGAGGACCAACTCTTGAGTATACAGTATATTATCATGACACCATTACAAAGAATTACTGTGACCGCAACCGGCCGTTGAAAATAGCCTCTCAGCTTCACGGCCTCGAATTCGTATAGCTTCTATCTATTGCCATTTCGAGTTTTACGTGTAGATATAAGTGCCATTTTCGTAGGATTATATGTTTCAGTCTAGTTTTTTTTATTTGCTTGTCTAATTTTTCTGGTTATTATTATTTACTTATTGTCTTATTAGGAATCAAGAGGCATTTCTGGAGGGCAAAGAAAACGCGTCAACATAGGAATGGAATTGGTGACTGACCCAACGTTGCTTTTTCTCGATGAGCCGACGAGGTAGGACGGAAAATTCTGTGTTTCTTTTAGCGAGTTGTTGCAGGTGATACGGATATTCCTTTTTGGTTTCTTTTAGGTTATTTAATGGTTGATGATATTTCGAACCCATAGCCACTGAAGGCATAACAAGGCAAAATATCATGAGTCGTTGCCATAGGTCCCCAGTGTCCTATTTATACCACCATAGTCGCCTGATTATGCATTCTAAGGCTTTGACATTAAGGTGCTTCCATTCTGGATTCATTGAACTCCATATTTCCTTTGTTGCTTCTCTTGTAGCGGACTGGACAGTACTTCAAGTTTGATGGTTGTGGATGCGCTAAAAGCCGTAGCTGAAAAAAAGAAACTGACAATTGTTTGCGTCATTCATCAGCCAAGATACGAAATATTCAGTAAGTCTGAACTGCAAATCGCAACAAGTTTAATTTTTTTTACTCTGATTTGTTTGCCGTCTTAAAACGTGGACAAAAATAACTTTGTGGTTCTAATATTTGATGAGAGTAGAAACAGAAGCAGTGAAACGATTCTTTGGGTCTAATTTGTTTCTCAATTTGCAAAATTCTTGCAACCTAAGATTTATAATTCAACCCCTTTTTCTGGTTGTCACGTTCTATTTTTTTTTTTTAGGTAAATTCCACAAAGTTCTCTTTCTTGCGCCCGGTGGACGAACCGTCTTCCTAGGATGTGTATCAGAGGCGGAAAACTACTTTGAAATGCTTGGATTTCAAATACCTGAGAAAGTGAACCCAGCAGATTTTTACATGGACGTCATTGGCGGATTGTGTAAGGGCTCTGATGAATCAACTAGTACTTTACCCGAGCGTTGGGAGCAGTATGCTGCTGGAAATAACGCGGGCGCTGAAAAAACTGACTGTGCTGATGGGAACCGGGCAGGTCCGGATGACGGAATAGAGCAATTGTCTTTTAAATCTACTCTGAAACTGTTCAAGAGAAACCCAAATAAAGGTACTCAGTGATTTCCAAAGGTATTAAAAGTCTGTTCCCCGCGATCAATGATAATTGATTGTCGCCTAAATCAATCGGTGGTAATCGATGTTTGTCAGTCAGTTTGTATGCATATATCTGCCGATTGATTAGGAATCGTCAGTCGCAATTAGATATCTAAATTACAGTAGTGGGCAGTAATTAAATAGAAATCGCTTACAGTCGACATGTTGAAACGGGTTCCAATCCCGTTGAAACCTAACTTTTTCAGGCTTCTTTAGTGCAATTTCTCTAATTGGAGCACAACTGCGAGGATCCTTTCCTTACCTCTGACTCGACATGTTGAAAGTTGATGAAGCCTTGCATCGATATGATCTGTTAATTAATATCATGGTGAATTAGTCTGACTGCGCGCGCAGCTGCAACTTTGGGAGCTCGCGTTACATTCTGTGGCTCGAATAGAATATAGCCTGATGATGGACATCAGCAGCTCGTTGAACGTTACGGACCATTTAAATTCCAATGTCTCACGTTTTTGTAATGTTCAACTTCATATTCTATTTGGCCTTCCTTTTCTTCAACGAGAATTACTTGCTTTAGTACAAGGTGATCGCCCTTTCAATTTCCATTTTCAGATCAAGACAAGCAGATGCCCAACTTCTTGATTCAGTTTATCACGTTTCTTCGTCGTGAGATTCGACTGCAGTTTCGTTTGTCACGATCACTTCTTCTGGATCAGTTCTTGGTGTTACTTGCAGGGGGTACCCTCGGGGCCCTCAGGAAGGAGGTTAGTTGGCATTCATGTTGTCAGTATTTAACGTTTAGCAAATCGGGATCACTACTGCTGGTGTGATACATCGCGCGCAAAATGGTTTTGACTTAGAGCGCCGTTTTTGTAATCTTTCATGCATCTTAGTCTCAGAGAGATTTGTTGCTAAAGATTATAGTGCAACGCAAATGAAAAATTTGTGGAAAGAGGCAAGGGTCCAAAAAGTCAAAATATTTTAAATAACTATAATAGCCAATTTGTTGTCAATAACTGAAAATTATCATGGCACCGATGCTTAGCTTTTCGTACAGGGCGAGATTTGTGAAATCTCCCTGTGCTAAAAATTAATTTCCAGAGTACTTTCCTTCCATTTTTTGTATTCTTTCTGTCTTAAGTGACGATTCGTCCAACTTGAAAATACCTTTTTTATTTCTATCACCAGGCTCCTCTTGACGATTTCTTCGCTCTCGTCACCCTCAGCTCCTTAGCAATTGGTCTGACCGCTATGTTATCTGCGTTGAGATGTTTTGGTAGCACCAGGGCTATTTTCTGGCGGTAAGGGGTGGGGAATTGTGTTTCTTGATCTGTGTGAATAACAATTCAAAAAAGACGATCGACGATGACATTAGAGAAGAAAACGCAGAGGACGACGGCGACAATGAAATGACGAGGAAAACGTCCATCAGGCCATTGGAGTGTCAGTGGTTTAATATTTACTTTTACACTTACTTTTATTACTATTTGATCTTCATTATCAACTTTACATTGCAGTGAAGCCGCAGCTGGTGTCAACAGGATAAGTTACTTTGTGGCTGTCAATGTCGCTCAGATTCCCATAATCGTCATCACTCCTGTTGTTTATTTGAGCCTGCTGTACTCACTGATTGCACCGAGAGGTAGAAATAGAAGTCGTTTTATGTGATAGGCATAGGTTTTCATTACTATTGGAATATCACGGGCCTCTGTTTCTCTCTGCTATCAACCTGATAATTTTTAAAGGCCCCCTTTGTATTTTTTTTCAACTTTTTCCCCTTTCGGCGTCTACAAATGTCCATAGTATACCAAAGTAATAGTCTCCGTTAGTATGATATTTGACGTTAGGCCAGAAAGTCAGAGGATGTTAGGGTTGAGGCCGAACAGGCACACAGCATGAGATGATTAACAGTTCATGATCTCTTGCGCACAGTTATACCTCCCTCCACCCCCTCTTTACCTTTCAAACTTAGATCTACGTGTCTGTTTTAATTTTTTGAAAATTCTTTCCTTAGCTTACTTCCGATTTCATTATGCCGCCACTCTTGGAGTTCAGTTCGCCTGCACTGGAGCGGGATACTGCATATCCGCTATCTTCAGCCCCAAAAACTCACAGATGGCATCTGTTACTTTTGCACTCATTTCCTCTCTTTTGGCAGGTAAACAAAGGAAAGGTTATCATGACAAATAGTAATACGAGGGGGAGGTAGAAGAGGGATGGGACGATAGAGAATGGAACTTAAGAAAATTTGTATCGATGCGTCACGTTAATCAATTTGAATTCGCTGCTTTGATTTGTTGTATTGGTTTGCTACCCCTGGGTTACTGGACATTACTTATCGCCTGAGGAAGAGGGTGGAGAATTTTGGGGGATCGTATGGTTAAGGGGGAGGGCGGAGGGCAGAGGGAAGAATCAGTCGTCGCCAGGGGAGGGCGGAGGGGGTCATGAGAATGAAACAGAGCCTTAAAGGATCAAGTAAATTTTATCGTGACAAAACTATGATCCTCCCCCCCCCTTCCCCCCTCTCCCGGCGGTGAATAATGACCGGCCCTTACTGAAACAGAGGAAACTCTCGTCAACTCTGTCTCGAATATGACGAAATTCTGAAAAAAAGCCCAGTAATTGATGATTACTTGCGCTGAAAGTTCAATTCTAGGACATTGTGTTGTTTCGGATCCGGTGTCTAAGCAAACAAAGTTTAGAGCGATAACTAGGTCATCTCATCGGCCGCGCTTTTAAAAATTGTCTGTTGGGTACGTTTTTGGCACAGGCATAAATCCATAAACTCTTCACAATTTTTCCCCGTGATCGATTTGCGATTATGCATGAGTTGGCACTCCTACAATGTAACATTTGCCAGGCGCGATCCCGGAACGATTTATTTGAATGTCAAGTTACTAATTATTTTGCAATAGCAATTTCATGCTGTTGAGTGTTTCTTGCCATCATCCTACTCTGCTGCCGGTTATCTTCGTAAATTGACACAATTATATTTCTGTCTCGCACTGAATTCCTAGGCAGTTCTCCTACACTGTGTAAAATGAAAAATAACAAGCTCAGTCCAGTCTACAGTCTCTCTTACTCCCGCTGGTACCTGGAGGCATTGTTTGAAAAGGAGGCTAATCGTTACCCAGAAGTCATGAAGCCCTATGTGCATGAGATATCAACAAGGAATGGATACACACTGAATAACTACAGCGCTTGTATAGGAGTCTTATTTGCCATGGGGTTTGCTTACCGAGTGCTGGCTTTGTTGTTTATGTTGTTTACAAATAGGGGGAAGCAACGGTAGCTGCATCTTGTCGTTAGAGAAATCGGTAGGAAAGTATATTATTGTTAAACTACAGCGTGGCTTTAAATTAGATTTCATTTTTGTGTTTGTGTGTCCTGTAATAGTAAAAACAAGAAAAGGAATTAGACGAATGAGCTAACTTGTGCAAACATTATTTTGTTGTTAGTTGAGAGCAATTATTTCTGTTTTGTTGATGTCTTTTTTTCGTGGGCGTGCTCGAAGGTACCATATATGTTTAACTTGTTAAGTGTCCTGCCAAGTGTCTGTTGTGATGTACGCACAAGGCTTTAAATGACTATGCTGAGAGATTTAGAGGTCGCCTCTGTTAGTTCAAAAGTCAGAATCAGTATCGTCCAATTTTATGCGCAAGAATGCCTAAATCTGTAAAAATTTAGGCAAACTGAAAAACGCCAAGTTTCATAGAAGCGTATAGGAACTTTTATACTATCTAACGTTCCTCAGTAGATGATTTATAAAAAAAATACTCTCCAAATCAAAGTAATGTCTCAGTTAACCTACGTTGTGTTGGCACATAATTTTAGATTGGTGTAAGGAGCTTTTTTATGCATCTGATTTGAACTTTTCATGTTGTGTTTATTGTTCTCCGTGCAGTAGGTTTGAGTTGAGTGAACTGCATGTTGTCTAGGTGTAATAAGTATAGTGATTATAAAACCGATAGCTAACGACTTGAAGAGTCTATAGATACTTTGTGCACCGCTCACTAACGGTAGAACCTTTAATAATCATTGAACGAGTCCGTGTTAAATAAAATTGTGTTGTTTATTGTCTTTGTTATGTGTTGCGGTAGGGTCTTTCTGGGGAAAGGGGGCTGACATGGTTCCAAGGATCCCCTCACTCAGTTACGCCTTCGAAGCATTTCTTCTCGTTTGTAAACAAGGCTCTTGTAATGCGAATTCTTTACGTATCGTTTAAGTGATGGCTATTTTTTTAAAAGACAACTAACATTGAAATAATCTTGTAATAGCAAATTAAAGCACAGTAATTGAATTTTTTTTTTACGGCACAGGCAAACGGGTATAGGAACGAATATTTCTGATTCGAAGATCTCGGAGACTTTTTTAAATCTTAAAAGTCTACAGTATTTCTTGCGGTCAATAGATACTCTTTGCACCGCACTGTAAACACAGAGCATTGATTAATTAGTGAATCAGTCTGTCAAATGAAATTGTTGTTTTTGTCGTTGTTGCCTGATGCACTAGCGTCTCTCCAGGACATTGGCGGGGATCCCCCCGATAAGAATTAGAGTGATAGTTACGCCTTTGACGAATTGTTTCTCGTCTGTAAGAACGAGTCTTATAATCCTTCACGCCTTTGCTAATATAAGCGCTTTAATTGTGAGATCTCAGAGACTTGAAAGTTTATTCAGAGTATTGTCTGTTTTTCGCTGTGGGAACGTTTATTATGACGCAATTTTCCCATGTTTTTTGTAGTAAAAGAAGAAGGTTGTAATACTGAGAAATGTATCTGTGCAAAGCTAGATAATCATTTCTGTTTTATCTCTCAAAAGGTTCTTTTCTCAAACTCAAATGGTCGATTTTAGTCATGAGTGGTCATTCTAATCATTTATCGACTCGATTACGCCTTCCCAAAATTTTTTTCGACTAAGTTGTCACTTTACACACATGTAAGCTGAAATGTAATGTAAACCTGGTAAAAACTTTGGGAGTGATACATCATGCATTATTTGCTTTATATAAAGTATTTATCCAATTTTCTTCCGGTTCTTCATAGTGTGTACGTGCGTCGCAAATTTTTGTTCATACATTACAGTATTTACTTGTAAATTTAACTTTCATTTATTTGGAATACCTGTAAATTAGTTGGTATATATGTCATTTCATCCAAGTCTTGAGCTGAACCACTCCATGTCGAATAGAATTATGATGTTTTTGATGTTTGCGTCGTTGTTTTGTAATGCACTAACGTCTTTTAGGATTGGGAAGGCTAAAATGGCCCCAAAGATCCACCCTCTCAGTTACACCTTTGATGTATTCGTTTTTGTTTGTAAATACGACTCTGATAATCCTTTACAGAGGGTTTGAATGGGGGTCCTCATATTAGCTATTGGTTAAAATTTCATCGCATTGTCGTTAGTTGGCTAAATTTTCGATCTTTGTCGGTTGTTGGTGAATCACAATTAATGATTAAAATGCAAGTGAAGCTTCCACATTCGTTAGGAAATTCGTGGGCTTGAGTAACGGACACCCTGGAAACGAGCCCGCACTCTTACATGGCAATGAAATAAGTTTGACGACAGGAAATGTGTTAATTATTAAACTGAATCTGACACTAAACCTCATAAGCTAGAATGCTCTTCATTTTGAATACGAAGATCGATAATGCTGTCGGTTGGTATTTTCATGTCCGTCCTAATCGGTAATTCCTTTTCGCATTTCGTCGATAGTCAGTTTTATTTTTACTATTTGTCGCTGGTCAATTAACCAGATTCAGACCCTCTTCACAAATCTTCAAGGCGATCGCTAACTTCTTGAAATATATATATATTTTTTCAAATGTTTTTTGCAACAGCAACTTAGATGCGCACGTGGATTGCTGTTTTGAGACGCAGATTCACGGCAGAAATATTTTTGATTAAGAGATCACGGAAACTTTGATTCTAGCTGTTAATTTCTTGCGAATCTTCGTTGTGAAAAAAGGGTTTTTTAAGACGCAATTTTTCTGTTAATTGGGAAAAAGGCGAGGATTTATTCACTGAGAAATGTATGATACGCTGGGCCCAAATTAACACCTGTGCTGAAACAGTTAACATATTCTATTCACGTTTCTTCCTGGCTCTCGGGCAATCACCACCGGAACATTTATTGTCTAATGGCTTCGTTCCTGTTTTGTGGACATCGACAGAGATCAATCTTTAAGCAAACATCTCGTCACAAAGTCTGTTTACTTTTAATAGGAGTTGACTTAGCGATTGTCAGTTCACCGAATGAGTCCAGAATAGGCTGACATAGAGACATCTTTTTGAGCAAATTGATCCATATATTTATTTACAACGCTGGTAAAATAAGTGATATGTCCTATCACCTTTCGATTTCATTAATTCTGTGATATTTCTTGTTTTAGAAAGGAATAAGACTTCCTTCACCTGTCGTGAAGCATTTCAAATGTTTAACGTTTCTTCATCCCACTCAGTAAAGTAAAACCACCTTCTTGTTGGTTTCGTTTGATCATGTGTTACCTTAACAATAGCGTAAGTAGATGTTCAAAACCCATTCTTTTAGTTCACGAAAGAATCTTAGTAGGAGGTTTTAATCTTTTATCGATATTATCTGATAATATTAGGAGGTAAAATTTAGCTAAGGCTTGTCACCGAAGACATAGTCAATTTAACAAATACGTTTATCCCATTCTGAGGGCTAGTTCCTGTGCACCTGCGATGTGATAATTAACTAATTTTCCTTGCACACTGGTGTTTAAATGAAAAGCCATTTAAAAATTTTAAATGATTAATTCACGTCATATATAACCAGCTTAGTACCGACAATTTCCCCCACACCTTCTCATGTATTTAAAGAGAGTGGATTAAGTGGCTCTGAGTACGACTGTAATTTCTCTTTTCAAAGTATGTTTATTCATTTTTATGATTTTTTTCTTCCTTTGGCCTTTTGAAGATCATATTTCAGTAAAAGCCACTTCAAACTGTGGTATAGTGGTTTGAAAGAACATTATTATTGGAGATATAACCTTCGACACGTCGTGAGTTAGCAACTAAGCTCATTATTAGCAGACTGTTGTTGTGATATTACGGTGAGTATGTGGTTAGGTACGTTTTTGTGCTAATCAAGAAATTTCACAGAAGTAATAAAGCCGTGACGGTATGAAAACAATATTGCAACCGAGTAAGTACAATAATATTTTTAAAAAGTTTTTGGCCCAGGACTCTGAAATTGGAAATTTGACCGAGGCATTGTGCAAGCACTTTTCCTTTTATAAAGTTTAAAGAAGCCACATACATGTAAATGTAACTACCTTTAATAACGACACCAAAATCGGACTAATTACCACATGCTTGTGTGCCAGTGGTTGAAACAGCCCTGTTAAGTCGTCGAATACAGTTTATTCAGATATGTTCACATTATCCCTTGCAGTCAAACATAAGTGGCGCGTATTGTTGAGAAATATTACAGTCTCAATCGTTATTATCTACACATGGTTTAATCAGAAAAAAAAAACAACTTTCTTAGCATCGCAGAAACAAGCCAGGTCAGGAAAGATCGTATAGTTCATTGAAAATTTAACAACTTGTATCCATTTACAGGTTGCTTAGTGAAGAAAAATTTCAGTGGAAACACAATAGCTCCCAACGCAAGTAACATTAGTCATTACCTGGAAAGCGAAGATTGGATTTTTCCTCCTGCCTCACAAAAACATGCCAGGCCAGGAAATATCATATACTTCACTGAAAATTTAACAACTTGTCTCCATTTGTAGGTCGTTTGGTGAAATAATATTTCGGCGGAAACTCAATGGCTCCCAACACAACTAACATTGCTCGTTACCATCCTGTCTCCCACTGCGTTTCATGGTTTGCTGTGTTCGGCACTGTATGTCTGGCCGTAGTTATCCTTAATATCATCATCATTATTATATTTGTGAAGCAGCGCCAGCTACAGAGGAAGAGTACATACTTGATTATCCATCTGGCCATAGTCGATCTCTTGGTCGGGGCGGTTACTGGGCCTCTTTGGATTGAGTTTTTTATGAGTTGGTACTGCGATCTGTGGGAGTACGATATGCATGATAACATTTGGTTATTCGTACTAGGGAGGGCTACTGGGTACAATATTGATGAAGTCTCGCTTCTTAACCTCACTTTTATTTCATTAGAACGAACACACGCAACATTTTGTCCTTTCAAGCATCGTTCTGTGAAGAAATGGGTTTATGGAGTGGTTATAGCTGTTACTTGGTTAGTCCCTGTAGTCGTTATGTCTTTAGTGTTTGGACTGATAAGCTTCAATCACGTCAGCTTTAAAATTACTTCGGTCCTTTTCTCATATATTTCTATCCTTCTTTTAGTTATATTTGCATGCTACTTTATCATTTATATCAAAGTTCGTGGAGGTCGTTTTGCTCAACTCCATGGTGCAGCCGGCCTGAGGGAAAGAAAACTGACAAGTACAATGTTTCTTGTCACATTTGGATCGTTCTTAACTTTCCTGCCGCAAATGGTTTTCTGGGCTGAATTGGCGTTTGATTTTAAGCTACAATCCAGACTTCCCACCAATTACGATTTTCACATTTCAATGGCGGTGTTTGTTTTTTTTGTCTTCAACTCGCTAATAAATCCTATGATTTACGCCATACGGATGCCGGAATTTAGAGCAGGTATATTACAAATAATATTTCGTAAGACTCGACGCCGTTTGAACCCGGTCAACATTCCTCTTTAGGGTCGTTAATTTATAATGTTTGGAGAAATATAAAATTGAAAAAAAAAATTAAGCTCGAAGTAAACAAGGAAAATTCTTGCGCGCTTCTCTAAATTGCTAGCACAGGTCCATTACGGAAAACTAACGTCAATGATGGTGTTTAAAGAAAATACTGTTTGTTAGGTTTAAAATTATGGGGATAAAAATATTGACTCACTGATTGGGCTGTTATGATGAAATAACTGTGTAGCCAGTAATTTCAATAATCTTAGATATAGAGTCCATGGTCATTTTATTTTTCTCACATAAAGGCACAAAAGAATGAAAAGCCTTTGCCTAGATCAGTAGAACGACATTGAAGTGTTTATTTCAGTACCGTTGTTTCCATGTAGAGTACATACTACTTTTGTGATGACACCGCTGATATCAATCAATCAATCAACTTTAAAGAAGCATTTTTTTACATTGTTGTAGATACGTCTCACTAAGGACGGTACATGAAACGGACGAGTTTACTTAAGGAAACCCGAAAATGTGATAATATAGACAGCTATGACCGGCTGAATGGTTATGTTAGTATTGGTTGTTATTTGTAATGACTGACTACTCAATACGTGGGTTAAAAATTGAAAGCCAACACTCGTTATTACAAGAGAAAAGAAGCTGAAAGACAATTCTTTAGAAACTGTAGCGTGACATGGATGGTCTCCACAGAACTAAAAGCAGAGAAAGATACAAATGAATGATGAAATAAAACCTCCCTTTGTTGAGTAATTGAGTTTAGTTTGGCTTGGTTTTGCTGTGCGAATTATTAGTTAGAATGTAACAGAAAACAATCACCATAAGTAGGTAGTGAAAGAAACAAACACTATTTTTACAACCATAGGTGATGATCTAGCTAAAAAATCAATTAATATTCTCAATTTAGGGCCCTAGATTCTTTCTTGCCACTGCGCTACGCAGTAGCCATGCAAAAGCGATTTCATTTCCGGTTTCCATATTTTTGTATTTTTAATGCTAAAGCAAATCATTCCAATCTCCTGCTGCCTTGAGGTAGTTGTTAGAACCTTTTTTCTTTTTGCTGTTGCATTACCAAGCCTAAGAAAAAGCTAGATAAAGACTGAACACACCTAAATAAAACTGAAAAGGCTTTATTGGGTTATTTCTTGGCGATTTAAAACTAATATTTCTAAAGTTCGAGATCATTACGGGATGTCAATTTCACTATAACCCTTGCGCATGGAAAAAAGTTAATGGCTAGATTTCACTACGTATTTCACGGTTATTCAAACAAAACCTTGCGCTACCCTTGTATCAATATTACCACCCCCATTTCTTTTAAAACAGCGGAAAAAAAGCGATGATCTCTCCCCAAAATCGGTTTTTTTTTGGATATCGAAATAATCCCTTGCCATACATTCCTTTATTGCGAGTTGCAATATTTGCCCCGTGGCAATCCCAGAGGTCTTTGCGCAAACACAAGGATCCGATTACTGGCAACTCATTCATTACTGAGTAGTGGGTGTGAGACCACGCTGTGAGGTGATCATTCAGCGTAATAAGTGCCGTGCCGTGCGCTGTTTTCAATCCAACGTTTGTGCCTTACTCTCGGGCAATAACACTAACATCTTTTGAGAAGGGGAGGCTAGAATGACCCCAAGGATCCACCCTCTCTACCCCGGAAATTATATAATTATTAAACTGAATCCGGAATTTAAAGTAGTTAGTATGTACTTGTCCGTCCCAATCGGTAATTCCTTTTTGCATTTTGTTGGTAGTCAGTGATATTTTTACGCATCATCAAAGCAACATTAATAAGTGATCACTAATTTTCAAAAGAACCGTATTTTTCGAATGACTTTTGCAATAGCAACTTAGATGCGCAGGTAAAAAGTTCTGCTTCAAGATGTTTTTTTTTTCTTACACTTTTCCGTCTCATTACTCTGACCCATCGTACCGGACTATATGGGTTAATGGGAGTCAACTGTGCATATTACTCCTGATTGGCAAAACGTTGTCATAGCAGCAAGAATCAAGCACTATGAGCTCATCGTTAGCAGACTGTCGTTATGATATTACAGAACGTGGTTAGGTACGTTTTAATGCTAATCAAGAAATTTAACAGAAGTAATAGGGACTTTAAGATGCAGGCTCTACTACGGCGACCGGAAGTCTACCCTTGAAACCCGTCGGACTGCGCATGTCCAAGGTGGGAATTTACACCGTACTCTTGCCATCTGCTACGGCAAAATCGTCTCGTTCCCGTAGTGGTGAGTACGTCAGAATTTGCCGTAATATTGTGTTTGAAGTCTTAATTATTTGAATTTTTCCTTGCGATTAAATTGATTTCGTTTCTTTAGGAATTCATAAATCATAGCTAAGACGAAAATTGGTCAAAATCTATCTGTAGAAAAAAGATGTCAAAAAAAGGGGCAATGGTAAGTATTTTTTTATCGTGTTCGTTCGTTTTAATTTTTTTTTGACTCAGTCGAGTTCTTCGGTTTGCTTTTCCGGCACTAAGCTGGTGCATGGATACTGATAACAAGTTATTAAAAATTTCATTCATTTCTGTTAATTTTGATTTTTATAACAGGCCAATGGAGTGGACAACAGCGCACGACGTGTTGCTGTGCAGAGAAATTTTTTTACAAGAGTTTTACAAGTTCAAGAAAGGAAGCAATGAAAGAGGAAGAACTTGGACGCAAATTTCCGAAAATCTCAACTGTGTAACTGCAGTCAAATTCAAAGTAAATCAAAGGGCGATGAGAAAGAGATTTGACTTTTTACTTGGAAGATCTCGACAGCAAAGTAGAGAAGAAGCAAAAGCATGTGGTGCATGTCTCGAACCAACAGAGCTCGATGTACTGTTAAAAGAAATGTCTGAAAGAGAGAAACAAGCAGAATCAACGAGAGAATCTTGTAGCAGCAAGAGCGTAGAAACAGATCGCAAAAAAGCCGAAGAGAAGCGTTGCCAAGCCTTGGAAAGAATTGGTGAAACTAAAAGAAGGGCTAATGAAGAATGAAAGAACAGCGAAAAGGCAGCGAAGAAGCGGAGCTGATGTTACCGAATTTCTACGGAAAAAGTCAGAAAAGGAGCTTAAGATCCGTCAAGAGGAGCTCGCTTTGAAAGCAGGAGAAGTTGAAAACGAAAAAGAGAAGCAAGTGAGATGTTAAAAACCCTAGATGCTATGATTGCAAACATGGCAAAACAACAAGATCAGATGCAAACACTTCAGATGGCTTTTTAGCAGCAACAGCAACAACAAACACAGACTATGATGGTTGTTAAAAAGACTTACGAAAAAGTAATAACGAACTAGTTTTCCGACAGAGATGACATCGCATTAATTTACTCTTCCTTGTATATTTGTTGCAGCTTCAAGTTTCTGATTTTGTTTTTTAAATGTCATTTTGCATTGTCTGTTTTTTTAAAGTGGGTGTAAATTCTGTTGTGTTCTGCAAATATGATTTCCCCCTATTTTGTTGGAAATTTGTTCAGTGGTTTACGCTATTCAAGATATATCTTAAATGAGTAAATTATTTCAGTGCTAATAACTACACTTTCTTTTTGTTCGGTTAAAAAAAAAACCATAGTATCATGCAAAGTAAGTAAAAAGGTCTGGAGGGTTACACCGAAAGAACTCAGAAGTGTTATTTCCATACAGGCAAGTAAGGCTGTGTATTAAAAGTGCGCAAACGATATATATTTTCCCTACCGAGCTCAAACAAGGTTTTAAGTTCTTTGTAAAATCTAAAAACTTTAAATAGTTTACAATGTCTCCGAAGAGCCATCGAGCCAGAAGACCTTCATTTGAGGAGTCAAAACTGCATTTCTGAGTGGGCCCCAGAGGTTCACTCGCAAAGGATAAGCCGGATCACCGCTTATACACAGAGGCCGTCCAGATAGCGAAAGGGCATATCGTTTGAGATCTGCCAACAGATTGGAGTTTGCCAACACCCCGGCATCATGTCTTCTTCCCTCTGAAAAATACAATGTTAATTAATAACTCAGAATTAGTAAGTACGTCGTAAATAAAGTTGCATTTGCTGTTGCCTCACTCTTAGAATAAATCATTTGTTATTGATCGAATACAAAAACCATACAAACACATAAGCAAACATAAATATTGGAATGCAAACACTCTAAAGTACCCACCAACAGGTCCAAACATATTATCAATCATTCCTTCTGGGGTTACGACAGACTGAAATTTGATAGCATGGACACGGGTAAGCCCGTTGTGGACGATTCTTTGGTTGCATTCTGGTCTAGATATAGGCCAATCAGTTCCGTCGACAAACCCGAAGCAGTTATCCAGTGGTGCTTCTTTTCTGTGAACTACATCGGCGTAGTATTCCAGATTCCTGGGTCTAATGAGTAGTATTCTAGCTTTCATTGTTGAATACGATGACCACGAGTTGCATAAATGTAATCCAACACTTCATATGTTATCATGCTGATAACAGGAACAGGCCAGGCTTGGCGAACCATTGTACCATGTCGCTGTACCGACATGGATAACACATGCCTTTTAACAGCATACATAAAGCTTCTTTTCCATCACAAACACTCCCTTGGCTGCATCCTACGGTTGCAGGAATTTGTAGAGCCTCAGCAAGTACCGCTACGTGCATTTTTTAAACCCTAAACTGTGCCAAACATTCGTCGTCACTAAAATTCTCGAGTCATACGGAAGTTCTAAGTTTTGTAATTCGTAACCAGTGTAAGGCAGCAAAAATTCGTCATCACTAATGTAATTTATGTCATAACAAAGACGGATTAACTCTCTATTGCTAGCTTGAATGGTGACATTTTTGCCAATAAAATGACTGCACAACAACGCTTTGAGCTCTGAGCTTTTCGTCGTATTGTCACTGCTTCTTAGCGATTCGTGCTTGGCGGGAAATACGCCGTACTCGCCCTAATCCATCGCGACCAAAGTAGCCGTAATAAAGATTCACCGTACCGTATCTTAAAGTCCCTAATCTCCTGGCATGGCGCGAGTTGTTTGCGAACCTTTATGAGCTAAAATCTCCTATTTGATTTTGGGAGGAATACAACCGCTTTGAGCGAATTTACAGGGTATATATAGATTTGACCGATTTTCGTCAAATTTCGCCGAAACATCCTAGGAATAATGACAAACGAAAGTGTGTCGGGAAATTTTGATATTTGAAATATTTGTCGTAGGCGTCCATTTACGCAGCACGACTCGCATATATAGCTACTCCAACTTTAGATACCGATATCTACACAACCTATCAGAATATCGAAAAAGCCTGACACGCTTTTGTTTATTGATGCCTTGTGAATGAGACTGTGCAGCTATTTTGCTCGTGCTGCAGCATTCGATACCCGATAGATTCAATGGACGAACCTTCGGTCGTCTCGCGCCTTAATGATTACATGATTGCAATTAATGTTCACCGCAAACTCCTTTACACGAACAATGTGCTTTGAAAACTTCCGTTCTGTCATCGCTCTCCTTGAAGATTACGGCTAAAAATGAGGTTCTTCGCTTTTTCTTAAACATCTATAGCAATGTGCTTCGACGTAGAAATCCTGTGACGGCTGACATGCGTAAATATCGTAAACATACCCTTCTCGAAAAAACCTATAGCTTTTCTCTCCAGCATTTTTTTTTTCAGCCTTGCTCAAGCCACAAAGACCAAGTTGTTGGACTAAATTTTGGGAACTGATTCCTTGAGGATTTCGACCAGGTCTGCTGTTTTGTGATTAAAACAACTACAGTAACGCACGTGATTTACACAGAGATTACAAGCAGCCGCGTTTTGAAACAAACCAAAGTATTGGGATTAGTTTCTAAAGAAACTATGGTGCTGCGTCGGTAGGGATACATGAAAATAATTTGGTTTCATCAAACGAGTTGATAAAGTGAATTAACCACTGTAGTTAATTTACTTTTATCAATCGACTCGTTTGATAAAGCAAATTATATACGAAAGTGAGCTTTGTTGTCACGCAATGTGAGCACACAATTCAATCTCACGCGTGAGTTAGCCGAATTTGTCTATTACACTATGCTCCGTATCACATTAACATAGCTGGGGACGCTTGGTCTGATAAACATTAATTTCAGTTTGTCAAGAAACCATAACTTATTCTTTGTAGTTATACTTTAGGCTGAGGAGTAGAAGTGGAAGAGAAATATTCATACCTTCGCGATTTGTCGAACCACAAGCATTTGAATCTTGGAGAACGGAGAAGACAGGCTTTCCGCATGGTGACTACAATTTGGTTCATTCTCGGACTTTCCGTCACCCGAGTGGTTTATGGCGGGAAATGCGGAGGTAATAGATCTTATTTACTTGTCGTTTTATTGCATCTTGTGAGTTTTACGAAATGTGACCATATTTTGGGCGATCTTTGGGTTGGTAACGAAAGCATCTCTGGACACTTCAAATGAGAGCGATCTGAATTTTAAATCAATTCAAAATTTCTGTGCATGGTTGTTTGGTTACGCGCTATGCTTCACCAATATAATGACACATCGCTTTGTGTAATAACATTAGAAGGGAAACGATATATCATGCAGAATTTTTTCGTTTACACAGACAAAATAAGGTTTTTATATTCCATTGAAACGGCGTGAGTAGTTTGAGGATGAATTAGACACTTGACCACGTGGAACTTGAACATACTTTACCAGCTGTCTTTCAAAGTTCAGATAGAAACTAATTGTTCTGAATGATATTTTTACGTTGAACCTGGCTCTTAAATTCCGAATGAAATATGGCCTTAAGCTTAGATTTCTTTTCAAGGACGATGAAGTGGGAAAGGGGCTGGCGGGCTCGCGAAAAAGGCTACCGGTGGTTAGGAGGAAAGACCTTTATTTATAAATTCTCTGCTTATGCTTATGACCGCAACCACTAGCTTGAGCGTGTGCTTAAGTTAACGTTTAAGTCAACGGGATCTCTAAATATTCCCACTTTTAATTCATCCGCCATAGTAATCTGGTTATTCGCCGCTCCCTTGGCTCCTTGCTCACCTCCCGCCTCCCTTAAAGAAGATGGATGGCTTTATTTTTAGTCGTGGATACGCGAAGCGTAGCAACGACTATTGTTAGGGATTAAAATATGCAAATTTGTCACTCACTCAGATGTCAACATACCTTGACCATGATGTGCCAACGGCGACACTCTGCGTCGCGACCCACTTTAAAATAAGACAAAAACCTTCCCACAAACACTATCTTACTCCTCCTCATTCACCTCCCCAGGATCTATGAAATATACCGGTGGGGGAGGACAGCAGCGCAAAAACTTAAGAAAAAGTTATGAATGAGCTTTTGTTAACAGAGGGCAGCTAAACTGATAGCCAACCAGCCAGTCGTTCATTTGCAATTTTGTCGGGATTCAATTGCTCTCCAATAGAATCCTATCCGAAAAGAACGAGGTGGAATGAAGCGAGTAACCTGTTCACAATCTGCAGCACATCCATACAAATTTTACGGTAGAAATCTGTTATAGTATACTCTTTTATAGCAAATAGTGACGTTAAAGGGATGGTGTAGGTCAAACGATAGCCAAAATGTGAATTCTGACTATTCAATCAACATCACCCCAGCAGTTCAAAGTAAATTCCAAAGAGTTTCAACGCTATCCGAGAGTTACCCATTGGCTGCCTATGTTTAGCTGTAAAAGTGTTTTTGTAAAGAGGAATTTAATTATTTTCAAAATCCATTGAAACGTAATGTATCCACGACTTATTTACAGTTTCCTTTAAGAAAACAATCAATTAAGCGATTCGTGTTAGAGAAATGAGGCCATCTTTAAGCTTAAAAACTTCAAGAGGAAGACATAGGGGTCTATTAGATGCCGCAAAACTGTAGGAAAAAAACTGTTTCAAGTTATTTAGCACAAGAAACGAAAAACCGATCTCAAAAATAACCAAAACCGAAAATCCCAATGTCCCCCTCCTTTAAGTTGTTCTGCGGCCTTAAATGAAATCACGAGTAATGCAAATTCAAATAACTGCCGTCAATTTATTTCGGTTGCGTGCGTAAAAGGAAGCAGCGGTGTCTCTGTTGGTCTCTCTAGTCTGTGTAAAGGCTTTTTAGTGTTAGATCATTTCTTTTTCCGAACTCTTTACCGTGTGGGAAAGTCGGCCGCTGGAAGAGCCAGAGTGACGCGAATGACACAAAGAGGATGAGGGTACAGCTGCCGTTTGTTGTTCGTCACGCAACATCTCCTTACATGAAAATTCTGTCGGTACAAATTAGACGAGCATTAATAAGTTGCCCAAAATGTTACTTATTTTCCCGTTTCAGAGGAAGAAAGAGAGGATTAAAAACGAAGGCAATAAGGCAGTATTAATTCAAAAAGGAAATTGTATGGTTAAACGTAGGAAGTTAACACGGTGTATAGAAGAACGAAAAGTTGGGCTTAGCAAAATCCACTTTAGACATAGAAATTTTGATACTTCTATCAACTGCAAGTTAAAAGTAATATTCAGTCAAAATTGTTTGTTTTATCTTTGTATGCAGATGTTTTTGACGATTTACCCAAATCTTGTTGTCCCGCAAAGTACGTCGATGTCTGTTGTCCGCTTGCAAAACCGTGTAACGCTTCAGCAGCGAAACTTACCCCGAGTATGATGACATCTAGTCCAACGCAGACAAGCGGGGGAAAACCATTTTGTATGGAACCTCAAAATTCCTCAGCTTGTGGGGCGGGATTTTTCTTGAATAAACATTCAATGAAATTCGAACCCTGTCCTGATGGTAAGTTTGTAGTTCCCTGATGACATTTTATCAATTTGCCATCCCGGAAGTGGGAAGTCGCAACAACTTTCGGTTGTTTGTTATGATGAAATGGTTTCTTTCGCGGTTTATGGGTAAGATCTCTTTCCATCAATATCCTAAGTGCACTCATGGAATGTTTGGTACAGTGGGAAGGGGGGGGGATTACTTCCCATTCATTCTCTTCAATGAAATCAAAACGACGTTGTCACAACTTGCAAAGCAATCCCATTGGAATATATCAGCGGATAACTCCATTGCAGACGAGAACTACGTGTTATCAAGGAAAAACATGGAGGTTAACTAAGACAATAATCCTAGCAGGCTGGATATTTTTTTCAAGGATCTGAAGACGCTTTTCGTTTTGTAACGAACTTCAGGCCGAGATCAAAACTTGTTTATTTTATTCGCTGTCGTCTCTGCTGATTTCTGCAGACTGGTTTAGGTAAGCCTTTGCATTGTGACACTCGTAGAACTAAATTGGTAAATAAGGGATTTACAGGGATTTATGTTTGTGTAGTTACATATTATTTCATATGTTTAGAGAGAAAGCAATTTTTTTTTCTCTCGTACCCCGCTATTATGGATTCTCGTTATTGCAGGTACTAAATCTCCTCCCGACGGTGTCCACAATAACGGGAGTCGACTCTATACAGTTTTACTACGATTAAAGTTCTAAACTGAAGGAGTTATTCAAGACCAATTTCACACGTAAAGGATTTGAGCGAGACTGCTGGAAAGCCCTGAATTGACCGCTTTGCAAGTTGTGTCATCATCGTTTGTCGGTCTAAGACCTGGTCACTCCCCCCCCCCCCCCCACCTCCTTCTCCTGAGTTGATGAATTAGACATAAAAGAGGCAGCGCAATTGTTTACATGTTCTCATGAAAGGGATGAATTTAACCCTCAGCAAAAACGCAATTAAGGCGAAAAGTCATCTGTCGGCTTGAAGTAAGAATCTACCGTAAAATAGAGGAAATATTGACTTTATGATTGTTTTTAGGCTTCTATTGTCTCCAGGATCGACTCTGTATCATACCATGTCCAAAGGGAGCATACTGTGTTAGAGATAAACTAGTTAACGCCACGGTAAGTTTTTTATGATCTTATTCACGACCAAGCGAGTGGAACGGTGCTTTCATGGCTGGTTCGACACTGGCTGGGTCTTTGGGCAAAACAGTTTAATTTTGCAGTGTCCTTACCACCCAGGAGTGTTATTGGCTGACGGTCAATTGTCTTGAGCTAAAATCAGTTTTCATATAGAGGCCTAAACAATTTCGACTTCCTCTCACACGTGAGTAGATCCTGGAGTTAACTGGGAAGGGGGGGCTCGCTAAAGTGATCTTGCAAGAACTATAATGCCGATGAGGTTTGAGTCTGATAACACACTTTGCCGACGTTTAATGAAACCAGTGTCACTTTACGTGTTTTCAATTGCAGATTTACGCTTCTAAATTCTCTGTTCTAAGTGACGATCTTTATGCTGTCATATCTTTAATGGCAGAGTCCGTGGTGCGCTCAGCTCATGATGAAAACATTCATCTTATTTCCTAGAAAAAATCGCCTTTATTGTGCCGCGAGAGTGGAAAATGCTGCAATACTTCTCAGTCCCCTCCTATCTTTGATTCTCATGCAGCTTCTAAGTATATTTGCCCTGGAGCAAAGCGCCCAAATCCCTGTCCTCCACGCTACTATTGCCCAAACGTCACCATTAAAAAGACGTGTCCAAGTGGACATTTCTGTCGGAATGGAAGCATGGAACCACAACGCTGTCCGGTATGAGTAATTAGTCTTGTTACATATATTTGGTAATAGTTACAATATTGTTATTCGATAATGCACATCCGAAGGCATCTCCTAAGTGGTAACAGCCGTTAAAGATAGATGCGAGAGGAACGGGATTTTTAAGGCCATTTGGCCATGTGAAATCCAAGTTCAAAACTATGGAAATTATAAATGTTCATGGAAATACTTTAATCTCAGAATTAATTCGGCTGACTGTTACTCCGTACTACAAATATGGATATCAATAGCAAATGCTAAAACTGCAAAGAATACTAAATAATGCTCATAAAATGCATCCTTTTCATGAATGCTGTGCATTATAAGGATTTAGTTCATTTACTAATAAAGTATGGGAATGTCAATTCATCTTCTATCGTCCATTTGCATTTAGTGGCAGAGACATGTGGAAGATGCCATCCCTGTTGTTGCATGCACAACTCCTTGTTGAGCGCAGTCTTATTTTGGTCTATTTTCAGATTCTCTCCGTATGCAAGAAAGGGTCTTCAGCTCCTATGAGTGCCCCTGGTGGTGTTTTACTCATCTTAGCAATATTGCTGGTAATGCTGTTGCTTTTGCATTGTTTCAACCACGAAGAAAAACTTATAGAATGGTGTGAACGTTATGTAACAAAGAGACTCTTCGCAAAACGACGTTTAAGAATGCAAGAGAGTATCAGGAGGAACACTTTGGATAAATACCGAGAGGAGGCGGAGCCAAAGACACAAACCATCACCATTCGTTTTCGAAACCTTAGCCTCTCTCTTAAAAAGGTAACTACCTGGTTGTGCAGAGGGAGAGGGGAGGGAAGGAGGTCTTTTGTTATCAATCTCAAAGTAACGGTCAATCTCATGAACGAATATTCGCCAAAGAGTATATTTCTTACTACAGAGTCCGGAGACGTTAATTAGTCACGTACTATCGGCAGCCAAAATACGATTGTGGTTAGTGTTACTGCTACTGCCCCTGTTATTATAATAATACATATGATAATAATAATAATAATAATAATAATAATAGTAATAATAGTATTGATAATGAAAATAATAATAGTTGAAATGATATCATCTTCATCTTGTTATTCGTATCATTCATTACTTTTTTTTTTGTTTACTTTTGGCGCCAAAGTGCTGCAGTGGAACTTGTTAACACTTAGAAAAATTCGGCGCGAAAGTGCGTCACGGAAAGTAAAAAACCAATTTATGGGATATATTTCGAAGGACTCTGCGTTAAAGTAAGATTTTCTGCATGCGCAGGAGAGTAAAGGAAGAATTTATGCTTTGATCATATTTCAATTGGAGCATAATCTTCAGTGGAAGGAGAATACTAAAGAATGAGTCAGAGTTTACTCCTACAAATATTTTTTAGAGACACCACACACATTGTAATTAACAGAATTTTTATTTAGTTATGCGTTGTGTGTTGTTTTCTTCATTTTAACAGACAAAAGTAGCCATTCTTCAAGGCGTGTCCGGTCAACTCCTACCTGGGGAAGTAACTGCAGTAATGGGTCCCTCGGGATCCGGCAAAACAACGTTTCTCAACACCCTTAGTGGAAAAGCCTATTATGGGGTTGGTTTTCCATCTGAAATAAGTGTAAAAAAAATACTCTCATCAGAGCTTAAAATTCGAGTGAATTCTGCCAATTATTGACTTCAGCACTCTTGAGCTCAAGGGTGTGATCAGTCCCTGGATGCTGTAGAAATCGACGCATTCCTAGGTGCTACCAGGGCTTCGTTTTCCCTTAGTGTCTAAAACTGAAAATGGTCTGATAGAATTAAAAGTGGCCATTAGCGATATAAAAGATGGCTGGATGGTTAGTTCTTTGTAGGAGCCTTCGGCTAACAGAATCCGATAAAGGAAAACTAAATATTTCCATCATTTAAAGAGAAAATATGTCTTTGAAAACCTGCGGAAAATACTATTTTTCTTGCTATTTTTTGTAGTTGCGACTAATATTTACAATACCACAACTAGAAAATCTATTTTTGAGACAATGCTATCACTACTTATGACAAGCATGTTCAACTTGTGGTGTAAACCTATTGTGACTTCATGAGCGCACAAGTAATTGACTTGACGAACAGAATTGAGATTGAAGAGAGATCTTGTAAAACGATGCTCTTAGAAAGCGTCAGGGTTGACTTAATTAATCAAATTTCAAGGCCACTTACTGCAGTTTTTCATTTCTGTTTTCAGAAACGCGCCGGTAGTCTATTCATCAACAACAACTTTGTACACGACTTGGGTGTTTTCAGAAACATCACGGGATTTGTTCCGCAGGTTTGTTTTGCGTCAGAAAAAGGAAGCAACTGCTTGGTTTTTTCTATCGGTGTACTATCGGTGTCGTTCAAGAGGGCCACCACCGCGCCCAGCGCCCAGAGACGGTTAAAGTTCTTTATAATAAAATGCTTGGGACAATTCGAGTTATTGATGCAGTGTTTGAAATTAGACTTAAACAGAATATGATTCAACGCAAGGATAAGAAGGAAACCTCTGTGTCAGGCAACCTGAGGAATTAGTCCTGTGCTCATCCACATTATATGCCTCTATTCAACTTGTACTGTTTTTTTCAGGAAGATATCATGCACAGAACATTGACGGTGAGGGAGGTTTTGATTTATCAAGCAAATCTAAGATTGACATCCTCGATTTCCAAAGACGAAAAGGAAAAAAGAGTCAACGAGGTATGTCGCCGATTAAAATCTTTCATTGTATTGGAACTGAGTAATGGTAATGAGGGACCTGTAAGTAAGCTCGTTCTACATCACTCACGTTACCATTCAATGAATAATAAAATTGAAACAGTAAAACTGACCCTTTTGGTTTGGCAGGTCTTGGATCTTCTTGATTTGGCGCACGTCAAGAATACAAAGATTGGGGACGAGGTATGGGCTTTCTAAAAAGAAAAACGTTTGCCAGTGTGAGGACCAACTCTCGAGTATACAGTATATTATCATGACACCATTACAAAGAATTACTGTGACCGCAACTAGCCGTTGAAAACAGCGTCTCAGCTTCACAGCTTCGAATTCGTATAGCTTCTATCTATTGCCATTTCGAGTTTTACGTGTAGATATAAGTGTCATTTTCGTAGGATTATATGTTTCAGTCTAGTTTTGTTTATTTACTTGTCTAATTGTTCTGGTTTTTTTTTCTTTTTTTTTATTGTCTTACTAGGAATCAAGAGGCATTTCTGGAGGGCAAAGAAAACGCGTCAACATAGGAATGGAATTGGTGACTGACCCAACGTTGCTTTTTCTCGATGAGCCGACGAGGTAGGACGGAAAATTCTGTGTTTCTTTAGCGACTTGTTGCATGTGATACGGATATTCCTTTTTGGTTTCTTTTAAGGTTATTTAATGGTTGATGATATTTCGAACCCATAGCCACTGAAGGCATAACAAGGCAAAATATCATGAGTAGTTGCCATAGGTCCCCAGTGTCTCATTTATACCACCATAGTCGCCTGATTATGCATTCTAAGGCTTTGACATTAAGGTGCTTCCATTCTGGATTCATTGAACTCCATATTTCCTTTGTTGCTTCTCTTGTAGCGGACTGGACAGTACTTCAAGTTTGATGGTTGTGGATGCGCTAAAAGCCGTAGCTGAAAAAAAGAAACTGACAATTGTTTGCGTCATTCATCAGCCAAGATACGAAATATTCAGTAAGTCTGAACTGCAAATCGCAACAAGTTTAATTTTTTTTACTCTGATTTGTTTGCCGTCTTAAAACGTAGACAAAAATAACTTTGTGGTTCTAATATTTGATGAGAGTAGAAACAGAAGCAGTGAAACGATTCTTTGGGTCTAATTTGTTTCTCAATTTGCAAAATTCTTGCAACCTAAGATTTATAATTCAACCCCTTTTTCTGGTTGTCATGTTCTATTTTTTTTTTTTTAGGTAAATTCCACAAAGTTCTCTTTCTTGCGCCCGGTGGACGAACCGTCTTCCTAGGATGTGTATCAGAGGCGGAAAACTACTTTGAAATGCTTGGATTTCAAATACCTGAGAAAGTGAACCCAGCAGATTTTTACATGGATGTCATTGGCGGATTGTGTAAGGGCTCTGATGAATCAACTAGTACTTTACCGGAGCGTTGGGAGCAGTATGCTGCTGGAAATAACGCGGGCGCTGAAAACACTGACTGTGCTGATGGGAGCCGGGCATGTCCGGATGACGGAATAGAGCAATTGTCTTTTAAATCTACTCTGAAACTGTTCAAGAGAAACCCAAATAAAGGTACTCAGTGATTTCCAAAGGTATTAAAAGTCTGTTCCCCGCGATCAATGATAATTGATTGTCGCCTAAATCAATCGGTGGTAATCGATGTTTGTCAGTCAGTTTGTATGCATATATCTGCCGATTGATTAGGAATCGTCAGTCGCAATTAGATATCTAAATTACAGTAGTGGGCAGTAATTAAATAGAAATCGCTTACAGTCGACATGTTGAAACGGGTTCCAATCCCGTTGAAGCCTAACTTTTTCAGGCTTCTTTAGTGCAATTTCTGTAATTGCAGCACAACTGCGAGGATCATTTCTTTACTACTGACTCGACATGTTGAAAGTTGATGAAGCCTTGCATCGATATGATCTGTTAATTAATATCATGGTGGATTAGTCTGACTGCGCGCGCAGCTGCAACTTTGGGAGCTCGCGTTACATTCTGTGGCTCGAATAGAAAATAGCCTGATGATGGACATCAGCAGCTCGTTGAACGTTACGGACCATTTAAATTCCAATGTCTCACGTTTTTGTAATGTTCAACTTCATATTCTATTTGGCCTTCCTTTTCTTCAACGAGACTTACTTGCTGTAGTACAAGGTGATCGCCCTTTCAATTTCCATTTTCAGATCAAGACAAGCAGATGCCCAACTTCTTGATTCAGTTTATCACGTTTCTTCGTCGTGAGATTCGACTGCAGTTTCGTTTGTCACGATCACTTCTTCTGGATCAGTTCTTGGTGTTACTTGCAGGGGGTACCCTCGGGGCCCTCAGGAAGGAGGTTAGTTGGCATTCATGTTGTCAGTATTTAACTTTTGGCAAATCGGGATCACTACTGCTGGTGTGATACATCGCGCGCAAAATGGTTTTGACTTAGAGCGCCGTTTTTGTAATCTTTCATGCATCTTAGTCTCAGAGAGATTTGTTGCTATAGATTATAGTGCAACGCAAATGAAAAATTTGTGGAAAGAGGCAAAAGTCAGAATATTTTAAATAACTATAATAGCCAATTTGTCGTCAATAACTGAAAATTATCATGGCACCGATGCTTAGCTTTTCGTACAGGGCGAGATTTGTGAAATCTCCCTGTGCTAAAAATTGATTTCCAGAGTACTTTCCTTCCATTTTTTGTATTCTTTCTGTCTTAAGTGACGATTCGTCCAACTTGAAAATACCTTTTTTATTTCTATCACCAGGCTCCTCTTGACGATTTCTTCGCTCTCGTCACCCTCAGCTCCTTAGCAATTGGTCTGACTGCTATGTTATCTGCGTTGAGATGTTTTGGTAGCTCCAGGGCTATTTTCTGGCGGTAAGGGGGGGGGATTGTGTTTCTTGATCTGTGTGAATAACAATTCAAAAAAGACGATCGACGATGACATTAGAGAAGGAAACGCAGAGGACGAAATGACGAGGAAAACGTCCATCAGGCCATTGGAGTGTCAGTGGTTTAATATTTACTTTTACACTTACTTTTATTCCTATTTGATCTTCATTATCAACTTTACATTGCAGTGAAGCCGCAGCTGGTGTCAACAGGATAAGTTACTTTGTGGCTGTCAATGTCGCTCAGATTCCCATAATCGTCATCACCCCTGTTGTTTATTTGAGCCTGCTGTACCCACTGATTGCACCGAGAGGTAAAAATAGACGTCGTTTTATGTGATAGGCATAGGTTTTCACTACTATTGGAATATCTCTCCTATCAATCTGATAATTTTTAAAGGCCCCCTTTGTATTTTTTTTTCACCTTTTTCCCCTTTCGGCGTCTACAAATGTCTATAGTCGACCAAAGTAATAGTGTCTGTTAGTGTGATATTTGACGTTAGGCCAGAAAGTCAGAGAATGTTAGGCTTGAGGCCGAACAGGCGCACAGTATGAGATGATTAACAGATTATGATCTCTTGCGCACAGTTATACCTCCCTCCACCCCCTCTTTACCTTTCAAACTTAGATCTACGTGTCTGTTTTAATTTTTTTGAAAATTCTTTTCTCAGCTTACTTCCGATTTCATTATGTCGCCACTCTTGGAGTTCAGTTCGCCTGCACTGGAGCGGGATACTGCATATCCGCTATCTTCAGCCCCAAAAACTCACAGATGGCATCTGTTACTTTTGCACTCATTTCCTCTCTTTTGGCAGGTAGACAAAGGCAAGCTTATCGTGACAAACAGTAATACGAGGGGGAGGTAGAAGAGGGATGGGACGATAGAGAATGGAACTTAAGAAAATTTGTATTGATGCGTCACGTTAATCTATTTGAATTCGCTGCTTTGAGTTGTTGTATTGGTTTGCTTCCTTTGGGTTACTGGACATTACTTATCGCCTGGGGAAGAGTGTGGGGAATTGTGGGGAGATCGTATGTTTAAGGGGGAGGGCGGAGGGCAGAGGGAAGAATCAGTCGTCGCCAGGGGAGGGCGGAGGGGGTCATAAGAATAAAACAGAGCCTTAAAGGATCAAGTAAATTTTATCGTGACAAAACTATGATCCTCCCCCCCCCCCCTCTCCCGGCGGTGAATAATGACCGGCCCTTACTGAAACAGAGGAAACTTCTCGTCAACTCTGTCTCGAATATGACGAAATTCTGAAAAAAAGCCCAGTAATTGATGATTACTTGCGCTGAAAGTTCAATTCTAGGACATTGTGTTGTTTCGGATCCGGTGTCTAAGCAAACAAAGTTTAGAGCGATAACTAGGTCATCTCAACGGCCGCGCTTTTAAAAATTGTCTGTTGGGTACGTTTTTGGCACAGGCATAAATCCATAAACTCTTCACAGTTTTTCCCCGTGATCGATTTGCGATTATGCATGAGTTGGCACTCCTACAATGTAATATTTGCCAGGCGCGATCCCGGAACGATTTATTTGAATGTCAAGTTACTAATTATTTTGCTGTTGAGTGTTTCTTGCCATCATACTACTCTGCTGCCGGTTATCTTCGTAAATTGACACTATTCTATTTCTGTCTCGCACTGAATTCCTAGGCAGTTCTCCTACACTGTGTAAAATGAAAGATAACAAGCTCAGTCCTGTCTACAGTCTCTCTTACTCCCGCTGGTACCTGGAGGCATTGTTTGAAAAGGAGGCTAATCGTTACCCAGAAGTCATGAAGCCCTATGTGCATGAGATATCAACAAGGAATGGATACACACTGAATAACTACAGCGCTTGTATAGGAGTCTTATTTGCCATGGGGTTTGCTTACCGAGTGCTGGCTTTGTTGTTTATGTTGTTTACAAATAGGGGGAAGCAACGGTAGCTGCATCTTGTCGTTAGAGAAATCTGTAGGAAAGTATATTATTGTTAAACTACAGCGTGGCTTTAAATTAGATTTCATTTTTGTGTTTGTGTGTCCTGTAATAGTAAAAACAAGAAAAGGAATTAGACGAATGAGCTAACTTGTGCAAACATTATTTTGTTGTTAGTTGAGAGCAATTATTTCTGTTTTGTTGATGTTTTTTTTTTTTTCGTGGGCGTGCTCGAAGGTGCCATATGTTTAACTTGTTAAGTGTCCTGCCAAGTGTCTGTTGGGATGTACACACAAGGCTTAAAATGACTACGCTTAGAGATTTAGAGGTCGCCTCTGTTAGATCAAAAATCAGAATCAGTATCGTCTAATTTATGCGCAAGAATGCCTAAACCTGTAAAAATTTAGGCAGACTGAAAAACGCCAAGTTTCAATGAAGCGTATAGGAACTTTATACTATCAAACATTCCTCAGTAGATGATTTATAACAAAATGCTCTCCCTACTCAAAGTAATGATCTCAGTTAACCTATGTTGTGTTGGCACATAATTTTGGATTGGTGTAAGGACCTTTATTTAGCATCTGATTTGAACTTTTCATGTTATGTTTGTTGTTCTCCGTGCAGTAGGTTTGAGTTGAGTGAACTGCAAGCCGTCTCTGTATAACAAGTATAGTGATTATAAAACCGATAACTAACGACTTCAAGAGTCCATATATACTTTGTACACAGCACACCAACGGAAGACTTAATAATCATTGAATGAGTCCGTGTCGAATAAAATTGTGTTGTTGATTGTCTTCGTTACGTGATGCAGTAGGGTCTTTCTGGGGAAAGGGGGCTAACATAGTCCCAAGGATCCCCTCGCTCAGTTACGCCTTCGAAGCATTTCTTCTTGTTTGTAATCAAGACTCATGTAATCGATCCTTTACGCATCGTTTAAGTGATGGCTATTTTTTTGATAGACAACCAACATTGAAATAATCTTGTGATATCAAATTAAAGTACAATAAGGTTAATTTTTTTTACGGCACAAGCAAACGGGTATGGGAACAAATATTTCTGATTCCAAGATCTCGAAGACTTTTTTACGTCTTAAAAGTCTGCTTTAAAGTCTACGGTATTTAAGAAATTTTAAGGTCAATATATACTTTTTGCACTGCACAATTAACCCAGAGCCTTGATTAATCAGTGAATCAGTCTTTTTCACGTAAAATTGTGTAGTTTTTGTCGTTGTTACCTGATGCAGTAGTCTCTCCCTCCTTTGCGGGGAGGAGACCCCTATGAAAATTAGACTGACAATTACGCCTTCTTTCTCGTCTGTAAGGACGACTCTTATAATCCTTCACGCCTCCGCTAAGCGTTGTAATTGTGAGATCTCAGAGACTCAAAGTTAATTTCAGAATTTTCTGTGCTCTCGCTGCGGGAACGTATTTTATTACACAATTTCCCCACGATTTTGTGGTCAAAAGAAGAAGATTGTGTTACTGAGAAATGTATCCGTGCAAAGCTAAATAACCATTTCTGTTTTGTTACCCAAAAGGTTCTTTTTCAAACTCGAATGGTCTATTGTAGTCATGAGTGGTCATTCCGATTATTTATCGACGTGGTTACGCATTCTTAACATTTTTCTACTAACTTGTCACTTTACACACATGTAAGCCGAAATGTAATGTAAACCTGGTAAAAACCTTTTGAGTGATACATCATTTTTTGCTTTATATAATATATTTATGCAATTTTCTTCCAGTTCTCCATAGTGTGTACGTGCTTCGCAAAATGTTTTCATTTATTACGGTATTTACTTTTAAATTCAATTTTAACTTATCATCCAAGTCTTGAAGTGAACCACTCCATGTCGAATAGAATTATGATGTTTTTGATATTTTTGGGGTTTTGTTGTGTGATGCACTAACGTCTTTTAGGAAGGGGTGGCTAAGGATCCACCCTCTCAGTTACAACTTTGACGTAATCGTTTTTATTTGTAAATGCGACTCTGATAATCCTTTACAGAGGGTTTGAAAGGGGGTCCTCATATCAACTGTCGATTAAAATTTCATTACTTTGTTATTAATTGCTCCGATCTTTGTAGGTTGTTGGTAAATCACAATTAATGATTAAAATGCAAGTGAAGGTTTCATATTGGTTAGCCAAATTCGTAGGCTGGATAGCGGTCGCTCTAGAAATGAGCCCGCAAACTTACACAGCTATAAAGTAAATTTGACGACTAAAAATTTGTTAATTATTACACTGAATTTGACATTTAACCTTCTAAGCCACAATGCTCTTCTTTCTGAAAACGAATATCGATAATGTTGGTTGTCGATTAGTATTTTCGTGTCGTAATCGTTAATTCTTTTTTGCATTTTGTCGGTCGTTAGTTATATTTTTCACCCTTTGTCGCTGGTCAATTAAACCCGATTCAGACCCTCTTTACGCATCATCAAAGCCATCGCTAACAAGTGATCGCTAACTTTTTAAAATAATCTTAATTTTCAAATAATTTTTGCAATAGCAACTTAGATGCGCAGGTGGGTTGTTGTTTTGAGACGCATCCTAACGGACAGAAATATTTCTGATCAAAAGATCTCGGAAACTGTGAGTCTAGTTGTTAATTTTTTGCGATTCCTCGTTGTGAAAAAGGTTTTTGAATTACGCAGTTTTTCCTTTTTATTGGGAAAAAGAAGAGGAATTATTCACAGGGAATTTATGATACGTTGGACCCAAATTAACACCTGTGCTGAAGCAGTTAAAATATTCTCTTCACGTTTCTTCTTCGCATTTGTGTACAATGTGGAATCCCAGCATCGCAAAAATACACCAAGTCAGGAAACATCATATAGTTGACTGACCAATTTAACAACTTGTCTCCATTTATAGGTCGTTTAGTGAAGTAATATTTTAGTGGAAATTCAGTGGCTCCCAACACAAGCAACATTACTCATTACCTGAAAAGCGAAGATTCAATGTTTCTTCCTGCCTCCCACTGCATTCCATGGTTTGGTGCGCTCGGCACTGTATGTTTGGCCATAGTCATCCTTAATATCATCGCCATTATTATATTTGTGAAGCAGCGCCGGCTACAGAGGAAGAGTACATACTTGATCATCCATCTGGCCATCATCGATCTCTTGGTCGGGGCGGTTACTGGGCCTCTTTGGATTGAGTTTTTTATGAGTTGGTACTGCGATCTGTGGGAGTACGATAGGCCTGATAACATTTGGTTACATGTACTAAAGAGGGCTACTGTGTATAATATTGATAAAGTCTCGCTTCTTAACCTCGCTTTTATTTCATTAGAACGAACACACGCGACATTTTGTCCTTTCAAGCATCGTTCTGTTAAGAAATGGGTTTATGGAGTTATAATAACTGTCACTTGGTTAGTACCTCTAGTCATGATCTCTATGGTATCTGGACTATTTAGCTCCTCTCACGTCAGCTCTAAAATATATTCGGTCCTCTTTTCATATCTTTCCATCCTTCTTTTAGTTGTGTTTGTATGCTATGTTTCTATTTATATCAAAGTTCGTCGTGGTCGTTTTGCTCAACTTCATGGTGCAGCCGGGCTGAGGGAAAGAAAACTGACAAGTACAATGTTTCTTGTCACATTCGGATCGTTCCTAACTTTCCTGCCATCGATAGTATGCCATGGTGTGGTGGCTTTTGATTCTAAGCTACTTTTCGGCCTTCCCACCGATTCTTTTTTTCACATTCAAATGGTAATGGTTACATTTTTTGTGCTGAACTCGCTAATAAATCCTATAATTTACGCCATACGGATGCCAGAATTAAGAGCAGGTATATTAGAAATAATATTTTGTAGGAATCTAAGCCGTCCGAACCCGGTCAACGTTCCACTTCAGGACCGTTAATTTGTAATGTTTGAAGAATATAAAATTGAGAAAAAAAAATAAGCTTGAAGTAAACGAGGAGAATTCCTGCGCGCTTCTCTACATTGCAAACATAGATCCAGGACGGAAAACTAACTTCAATGTTAATATTTAAAGAAAATACTTTTTGTTAGGTTTAAAATTACGGGGATAAAAATGTTGACTTACCGATTGGGCTGTTATGATTAAATAACTGTGTAGCCAGTAATTTCAATAATCTAAGACATAGTGTACATGGTTATTTTTTCCATATAAAAGCTCAAAAGAATGAAAAGCCTTTGCCTCGATCGATCAGTAAAACGACATTGATGTGTTTATTTCAGTACCGCTGTTATCATGTAGAGTACAACTACTTTTGTAGCTGAAACTGAAACAACTTGTTGTAATATTTATATTATTACGGATAGAAACATTAAACTGGTTTTTAAACGATGAAGCAGTTTCTTTTGTTTTTTCTCTAGGTTCTCTTTCTTTTGCTGTTTACACATTGTTTTCACAATGTAGTAGAAGAAGCAAAAATTCATGTTTTATTATTTTAGGTGATGATAACGCTGACCAATCAATCAATGCACTTAAAAAAGCATTTTTTACAGTGTTGTGGGCAAGTTTCACTAAGGACGGTGCATAAGACTAACGAGTTTATTTAAGGCAACCCGAAAATTTGATACCATAGACAGCTATGACCGGCTGAATGGTTATGTATTGTTTGTTATACATAATGACTGACTACTCACCACGTGGGTTAAAAATTGAAAGCCAACACTCGCTATTACAATAGTAAAAGCTCAAAGACAACTCTTTAGAAACCGTAACGTGACATGGATGGTCTCCACTGAAGAACTAGAAATAAAAGTAGGGAAAGATACAAATGAATAATAAAATACAATTTCCCTTTATTGAGTAGTTGCGTTTGGTTAGGATTTGTTTTGCTTCGCGGATTATCAGCCAGAATGTAACAGAAAACAGTCACCATATATGGGGTAGCGAAAGAATAAAAACTATTTTTACAACCAAGGGTGATGATCCCGCTAATAAATCGATCCATATTCTCTTAAGAGCCCTTAATTCTATCTCGTTACTGCGTTACGAAGTAGCCATGCAAAAGCGATTTAATTTCCAGTTTTCGTATTTCACGGAATTACTGCGCGGTGGATGTGAGGCCAAGCTCCACCTGTGAGATGATCATCCAGCAAAATATAGGAGTCATGGCGAAAATATAAGAGTTTGTATGGGAATATTTACGACCGCTCTTAGGAATAAAACAATACCTCACCTTACTTCTACAGTGCGTCGCTTGTTGTCGGGCCACTTACTTTGTTGAAACGAGACCATTTGAGCGAGTCATCCATTTCTAGGTTTCCAACTCCTTGGAGATGACCACGTTGCTGTTTTTGGACGTTGTTGAGTGAGCAATAGCGTCTTTCTGAGAAGGAGGGGGGGGTAAAGTGGTCTCCAGGAGCCCTCCTCCTAGTTAGGACCTTGACGTATTCTTTCTCGTATGTAAACACAATGCCTATAATCCTCTAGGTATCTTCAAAGCGATCGCCCCCCCCCTTTTTTTTAAAGACACCCAGCTTTCAGTTTCTTAAAAATAGCTATGTGCAGTACATTTACCTGTAAATTTACGGCGCAGACAAACGGGAACGGGAACAAACAGTTCTAATTGCGAGATCTTGCAGATTTTAAGTCTCGCTATGAGTTTAGTGAACTCTTGTTGCAAAATTCTTTTGGAGGACACAATTTTTCCGTGTGAAATGGAAAATGAAGAAAAAAAAGGACAAAGAGAATAGGTTATAAATTTTATCGGATGGACACCATCAGCAGTGAGGATTTGAGGCCGCGCGCTGTTTTCAGTTCAATGTTCGTGCCTTGGTCACGAGCAATAGCAACCCATTTAGTGTAGAATGCGGAAGACGTATTGTCTATTGTAATTGATGTTCGGTTAATTTCCTTATCAATAAGACAAAGGCTAAAGACAAAGACTTAATAACATTTTTTTAGCCCATTATGAATTTATTTCACATAATCATCATTTGGCCGAAGACTGTTTACATTTCGACTATTTTATTTCAATACTTCGAGCTTTAGGCATCTCATATATTTTTCTTTTTAACAATTTTTCGTTTAATTACTCTAACCTCTTTGCATTGACGGTTCATCAGTTAGCAACGGTGCACAACCTGATAGCAGAGCGTCGCGGTAACATTCAGCTTGCGTGGTCAGGTAAGTTGTTGTGATATTCAAGAAGTTTTAACTGAAATAATTGAGCTGTGATGGCATGAAATTAAGGTTGCAACCGAAACGTAAATCGTAAGCTTCAAAGTACCATCCAAGGTTTTTTTTGCTGAGGACTCTTGCATTACATTAACCGTGCCATTGTCCGAGCATTAATCTTACACAGAATTTAATAAGCAATATATTTCTAACGCCAAATAGCTCTTTTATCAATAACTAAATCGGACAAAACACCTCATACTTGAGTGCCTGTCGCTGAAAAAACCTTCATAATTCGTCGATTACGGTTTATTCACAAAGTTTCACGATATCCCAAGCAGTCTTACGCAGAAGGCGTGTTTAATTTTCTGAAAGCATCGAGAAGTATCTCTGCCTAAACCTATATTCTTCAGCAGCTGGTCAAATCAGGAAGAAGAAAAAAATTTGACATGGGCAAAGATATGCCAGACTGGGAAACACCGAAACGTTCCGTGAACAAATGAACAATTTATTTCCATTTATAGCTCGTTCGTAAAATAAAACTTTATTGAAAACTTCATGAATGGCTGCCGACACAATTTGTAAGGCCACGGCGAATGGACCACAATGTGTTTAAAAACTGATAAGTCAGTGAAAATAATCAACCAATATAAGTTCATTAAATCGCTTTCCATGGCCATTCGCTTGGGCTTTTCATTGACTGATTTGTCGCAAAGGCTTGATCTGAAAATTAAAGATGCTTTCCAAGATAGCAAATCATCTGATCATTGTTTTACTTTCTTCATTGCAACTATTAGCAAAATGTGCCTATTTAGATACAATCAGATTATCTAACCTGTCTCGTTGTAAAAGCATAACTCTTGTGAGCGGACATTGAATATCTATTTAATCTAACGACCAATGGCATGAACGGTTAGGCACTGCTTGCATATCAGGCCCTTAGCAATGTTATAAATCTGCGCTAGCATTGAATTAATTACTAATAGCAAGTCTTGGTTCCTTATCGAAGAAGAGTGCTTGCTTGTCAGCTGAAGCGGCACATTCGGGTTCTCTGTTGAATATTACTTCCTTAATATTGTTAACAGGCGGCAAAAATGAACCGAGAGGAATGTTCAGAACAGGTGACTTCTGGCGAATAGCATTTTAAAAAATGAACATAGATTGTTCTCGAAAAAAAAACCTTGGAAGTATTCAGTGACTGAGCAAAAGTACGATGACTGACGTGCGTGACCCTTTGGAAACAGACGGGCCATTGTATTCAAGAATATAATTATTGAAGATCATTCATAGCTACAAGGACAAAGTTAAAACCTAGAGTTTGAAGATAAAATGATTTTATCTGCTATATACAACAATGTCATAAATCTAATTGTCTAGGGTTCCCAGTCAGTTTAACATCACCTTCCGATTCAAACAACGCACCATATGTACCTTTGAATCGAAGATATAAAACATCGAAAGAGTTATACTTTGCAACTCAGCGGTACACGTAGACAGAGGCTCCAAACTGGCTAGAAATCGCACTGCCGCGTGACAATTGTTTGAAATCTTTCTTTAATGCACATTGTGATTTTCCCACACATCATTGACTTGTCTCGCCGACAAAGCCTGTATTCGTAATATCTTATCAATATCTGGGAAACCCCTTTTAAAAAGACTTTATTCCGAGGGCTATATAAGCATTTTCTAAAAGATCTGGAAAGATCTTTGTTAAAATTAATATTTCACATTATTTCCCTGCAGTCATTCGCTAAAATCACCAAGAAAGCACTAAAATTAGCAATTAGTTTTATCGCTTTTTATCCATTACTTTGTTAGAATTCTTCATTTATTTATTTCTCTTTTTATTTAGCACCTTCCGGAGAGAATTTCATTTAAAGAGGAGTATACCTGTGATCTTTTTATTTGAAGTTTTGCCTCCTTTCTAGGATGAAAAAAGTTATCATCAAGAGAGAGTAGTTTAATATTAAAGATTCCCGCATTGTGTCTTTGAACTTATAAATGTGTTGGTTTTGCATAGTTCCCGTAAACCGCAAACCACGAATTTGCTGTTGTGGTGTCTGTTATCTATCCTGCAATCAAATTTGACACCATTAATTTCTTCTAAGAGTAAGCCATTTACGTAAATTAGACACTACAAAGGGCATACCCAACGGTATTAATCAGAAAAACCCTTTTATTTTGCAAATCTCTTTTTTCCAATGCATCCCTTTCTGAGTGCAATACATATTCATCGCAAGCTTATATTAAATTAAGTTTACATATAGGTTAAAATAGCAAAGAGATATGAGTAATTTAAAGATCAATTTAGTCATTCTCACCAGGTGTCTGTTAGTCAATGTATGGATAAATTAATGAGAAATGCGACATGATCAAAATGCGATATTGTCCCGCAGCTCGAACCATCCTTACGAAATGAGCCCTTTAAGTAGACGCCTTGTAAAAAAAAAATGAATGCTTACCTCACATCAAACGAATCGGATTACTCTCGTTGTATGAATCAGTTTTTGAACGCTGGTGACAATTAAAATAATTCAATTGTGCTAACTTTTCGTATTAATTTCTTTCTCCGATTTAGCGGTTTCAGCACCTGGCCTGGCAGACCAATCGCGTCACAGTTCACGCTGACTTCATTATGGAATGTTTTATTCAACACCTCGTAGGTAAGGGCGCATTATTCGTACCAAGTATCATACAACAAGGACGTTTACGCCATGAAGACTTTTCTTTGAGAAATCGGGAGGCTTTTCAAGAAAAATCAGAGTTTC